GACGTGGACATCAAATTCGCTGCCACTCAAAAGGAGTTACAGTCTCTAAGATCACGAGAGCAACGACTAACAAAGGAAAATCGTGAAGCCCAGCAACAGCTATCTGAATTATCGAAAACTTCGACAGATTACGAAGAGCTTGTGAGGAAGAAGGAAAGCGAGCTTGCTATTCTCCGTTCAGATAACAAGAAGTTTCAGATGGAGCAACGTAATTTCGATGAGCAGAGGAAGACACTAGGCTCCGAGAAAGAGAAGATGGCCGACCGTCTACGTGAGGTTCAAGCTGAAATGGTTGCTATGAAATCTCAGCATTCGCAGCTCCAGCGTGAAGCAGAAGATGCGAAGCAATTACTTCAGGCGAGACTCTCCGAAGATGCACAAGCAAACCAGAACCGAGAAGTCTTAGAGTCACAGATTAAAGACCTAAAGAATGAGCTATACAAAGTTCAGATGGATTTAAGTCGGGAACGCCAATCACGAGATGACGTAGCCCTTCTTGCTGAGCATAAATATCAAGCCTTGCAAGAAGAACATGATCGACTCAAGGAATCAAAAATAACAATTGAGAAGGAGCTCTATCTTCAACAGGACACTCTACGGCGAACTATGGAAGCCCGAGCAACTGCTGAAAAGGAACGCGATGATGCGCGCGACGAGATTCGGCGTTTACGAATAGCGAAGACTCAAGCAGAAGAAGCACGACTAAACGCGGAAGAGGCAGGTGAACGCAATGCCACTCGCGTAGCCCGGGAGCGAGAGGCTAGCCTACAGAAAGATCTCGATGCGACACAAGAGCGACTTACATGGTTCGAAGGCGAATGTGAAAAGTTAAATCACGAAATAGAAGATCTCAATAAGTTTATGATCTCATCCGGAGAATATGGCCTCAAAAATGACCAGGCCAAGGAACGCTTAGAACGTGAACTAGTCACAGTGAAGGGTCGACTAACTGCCTCCGAGAACGACAATCGCGCCTTGCTCAACAAGCTGCAGCAAAAGGGCCTTGAAATCGCGCGATCCGCCTCGAGGGCAAACGAGGCCTCGAGAGGACAGATTTTAAACCTGCAGCGTGAAAAGGCAAGGATGGAGGAGCAGAATGCGGTACTTAACAAGCAGCTCGGAGATGCATCATTGACTATAGCTGGCCTCGAGAAGAGGGTTGAGAAGTTGCAACTTAACGTGGAGGATCTCAACCACGAAGTTGCACGCGAGGTCAAGTCCAGCCGCAACGCCGAGAAAGCTTCATCCAACTATACAATTCAGCTTGCTGAGGCAAACAGGACAATAGAATCCGAGCGTCAGCTACGGACCCAGGCCCAAACTACCGTGCGCGCTATGCAAACGACCCTTGACTCCCGGGACAAAGAATTAGAAGAACTTCGAGCACAAATGCTACGAATTTTGAAGGCAGTTGACCCAGAAGTCTCAATTCCAGCCCAGGGTGACGGAAGTCATGATAAGATCATGAGTCAAAACTTTGATATGCTTAGGAAGATTGAAGAATTGCAACAAAACCTTCGTATACAAACCGCTGCACGCACAAATGCGGACGCACAGTTGACTGAGCTACGTGCAAATCGATCAGAGTCGCCAGTACGACCTAAACTAGAGGAGATGCACCCTAACGAGGCTCCTTTCAACGGCTCTCCTACGCAGAAACGAGGCAAACTAAACGGAAGGCGTAATTCGGTTCTTTCCACACCTACTCGCCGTGTTGGCAACGAGAACGATGTGATTCCGGACTCTGGTAGATCAGACCGCACCGCAGATATTCTCAGCTTCAACAATAAGCAAGATCTAAAGACGGAGGTTGAAGAGTTGCAGAATCAACTCCAAATATCACAGATGCAAAACCGTCACCTCCAAAGCCAGCTTGAGCGTGTCACGCCCACACCAGAGATGAACCTTGATGAGAGCCCTTCAGTTCGCCGAATGAAGAAGTTGGAGAAAGCCAATAACCGACTACATGATATGCTCGACGACTCTGCTAAGAAGGTTTCCCAGTTGGAGAAATCGATTAGGAGTGGCGAGTTGTCTGTGCGAGACCTCCAAACTAAATCGCACGAAGAAATTCTCGACCTACTCAACAGTCAAGAAGACTCTAGACGTGCACTTCTCCACAATCATAACGATGCTATTACTGAGCTAGCTGACGTCAAAGAACATTTTGAGAAAATGAGGCACGAACGTGCCAGGCTAGAGGTTGAGCTTCGAGATACAAAGTCAGATCTACAAGAAATGTCTGTTGCTCGAGAACAGGAAGCCGCTAACCGCAGTCAACTACTCCAAGAGTTTGCCGATCTACAGATTCGCCTTGATGCTGAAAGCTCTCAGTTAGCAGATGTGACTTCGAGCCTCGAGATGTATAAGAGTCGTGCCGACGAATACTTCAGCAAACTAGAGCAGGCTGAGATCGCTGTTCTGAAGGCGACGCGGGCAGAACAGTTTGCTAAATCTCAGGCTAAAGAAGCAGAGGAGGCCTATGCTGAGATCATGTCACAGCGAAACAAATCAGATGGAAGCATGGAGGACGTATTACGTCAGAATCAGCGTCTTGAGGAGAAGCTAGAGGATCTATCTACAGACCTCGAGGCTGCTTTGCAGTCAAAGAAGCGTCTCCAGCACGAGCTAGAAGATTATAGAAGTCAAAGAGCCATTGATCTCGAGGACAAGGAGTCACAGATGGAGCAAACTCGCAAGAAGTACCAAGCGGAATTTGCTACTCTTACTAAAGAACTTGACATAGCACGGGAGGAGAAACTCTTCAAGCAGTCCGAAATCATTCGATTACGCGAAGAACTTGATGATCTCCGCTCCAAGTGGGACGACGAGGTACTCAACAGCACAACATGGTCAAAAGAAAAGGCACGCCTTGAGAGTACGCTTGCTGACGTCGTTTCATCACGCGACGAAGCCGTTAGCGCCCATAACGAAGCCCAAGGCAAAGTTGTTTCCCTCCTTTCTCAAGTCCGAACCCTTCGAAGCTCAGTGGACGACATTACCGCTGAGCGCGATACTCTAATGAGAGAGAAGTCCAGCATTGAAGCGAGACTTAAAGAAGCCAAAGCCAATCTTGAAGAATTGGCCAACAGCGAGAGTCCAGCGATGCGTAATGCTGCTAATACAGACAAGGAAATTCTGGAGCTAAAATCTAGCCTAGCTCAACAGGAAGACATTGCTGCTGCTGCGGTAGAGAAGATGCGGCGTGCCGAGTCCCTCGCTACCGAAGTGCAAAAAGAAATTGCGGCCGAACGTGAACTCAGCGCCGACCTATCTAAACAAAAGGCAGCTCTCGAAAAGAGCCTCAACGAAGTGCAAGTGCGACTTGTCGATCTGGAAACTAAGGGATATTCAACCGGCAGCCAGGATATCAAGTTCTTGCACAAGCGTATCCAGGAGGTTAGTACCACGCCAGACCCTGAACATGAACCTCGTAGCAACGTGATAGTATCACAATCTCCAACAGCAAGACCCCTATCCTCGTTATTCCGCAAGCTTACAAGGCGTACCGCTAATACTCCACCAACATCATAGCTTGAATCGCAGCTCGAGACTCAAGAGAACGAGCGGTCGAAATCGCAACGTTCGGTCCGCAACGTAGATCGGATAGTAAAGGATCTGCAATCTCAGATAGAGCGCAAGGACAAACAAGCCGTGCAGCTCAACGACGACGTGTCGCGACTACGTGACAGGGTGGAGAAGCTCCTCGTGACAGTCGATGAGCTCCAGGCCAGTGAGAGCGATATCCAGCTGTCGGCCCGTCGGGCTGAACGGGAATTAAGAGAGGAGAAGGAGAAGGTTCTACGGTTAGAGCGTGAGTTAGAAGGGTGGAAGCACCTGCGGATGGAAAAGGGAAGCGTGAACGGCAGCGTGCGGCTTAGTACGTCCGGCCTAGAAGGAACGCGGCGGCTCAGCGCCTGGAAAAACGGGACCGGAACTGGTGGCGACGCGGACGAGACAGCCAGCCTTGGCGGAACCGGCATCGAGGTGCCAAAGCGGACAACCAGTATCGGACGGAAGCCAAGCCTAACGAAGGGCTTTTTGTGAAGCATGGAGGATGGAGGATGGAGGATAGGGGGGAGTTACTGGAAGCATTGTTAATGTACCAACGATTAAGTGGCGACTTATGTATTTTACGGAACTACGCTTGTACTAATCATGATAATGCATCGAAATGAGGGGAGGATGGGGAGGATGAGGGGGGATAGGATAATGTTAAGGCATTGAGCTGGTATTATTTTATGTAGCATGAATGAGTGGCTCTGATGGTAATGTGGATTGGTGGTCTAGCTGCTTTGCTACACGATGCTTGAGCTTGCTCCCATGTATTTATGTTTTATGTTTATCCCTCGCCATAGAGCTGCGCTCCTCTGTCTATACCTTATTACGAAACACGGTATAGAAATGAATATAATCACATCACCATACATACCTACATACCTCATACAGCATTTGAAGTCATTATCAGATAGTATCTGAGACACATCATTATCATTAATTACCCGACTATGTAATACACAGCAGCACAGCAGGTAACCTTGTTCACCCAAAGTGCGACTTGTCTCATATAACCTGGGCGTACGCCGTCCTCGCCAGGAATCAAATCACGAAATAGCCTCTATGGGATTCCTCTATCGTGGTTTGCTGGGGAAGACTGAAGTGACGCTTGTCAAGCACGTATCCGGATTTACTTCGTGGTTAGTAGCACTTATAACGGTGTTTTGGCCTCATAATTAACTAGTTGCCTAGGTAGCTAGCTGTTTGCACGCCTGCACAAACACGAGTTTATGCTTACTTATAAAGTGGAAGACCACCACTTATCATGAGAACGTTCCTTGCTTGGGGGATTTCCAGAGTACCTAACCTAATATCTTAAACCTGGAGCAAGGTGATATCGTCTGCTGGGTAGTAACTTAGCCAGCCAGCCAGCCAGCCAACTTAGTTACACACGCTCATCGTAAGACCTCTCCCCCGAAGGACTACCTAGGTAGTTAATAGCAATGGCGTCTTCTCACTTCTTCCTGATGCTAGACCACATAGCCTCCTATCAATGCCATGAAACATCCACCACCCGCCGAACCGAAATGGGCAATATCCTCGGCTCCCAGCGCGTCTTCTACGTCGGGTACGAGTACACCCGGAGCTCTGTACACGGCTCCAGCGATGATATAAGCGACGGCTCACAGGAACGGGACTTGTCGGGAGGATGGGGGGGTAATGTGGTAGGGGTTAAGAGGAGGAAGGGCTGTGTATGAGTGTTTTTCTTTTCTCTTTAGTCGTACATCTACTTCTGTCTTCTCTCCCTTCTCCTTTCCTCCCTTTCACTCGTGCATAGGTACCTAACCTAACACTATTGCGCGGGAAAAAGGGGTAAAGGGGTTAAAAAGGAGGGAAATAGGAAGAAACAACCAAGTATAAAAAATAGCGCTAACTAACAATCATATCAGATAACCCGCGACCACTGGGCGCTCAAATTCAGGCCCGGCATCGACGCCTCGCAGTTACCACGGCGGATCAAAGGGTTCCGAACAAAGATCCCAAGCCGGTGCAAGGAGAATTGTGGCTGAGTGCCGCGAGGCGAGCACATTAGCGGAGATCTTTGAGGACGACCAATATTATCATCGTGGGATGAGAGTGAGGGTTTCATCTTTCCAAGTTGTACATATAACTACCTAACCTAATGGCTTAATGTAATCTTTGGCTGGTTGTCGGGGAGAAGCTGGACAAATTTAAGAGTTATTATAACTCCAGATAACGCATATTAGCTTAATAGCCTAGTTAGCACGTATCCAAAAAAGAAGGCATGAGAGCCCGTTCTGTTTATCATTTAGAGATAATATGGCGAGATGGATTACTGTGTAGAAGCAGTATGCTTCACTTACAGTATTATCCCATTGAGTCCCAGACGTGGGTCAAAAATTGTATCCACTGCCTAAGCCCTTAAGAGAAAGTATTTTATGGTTGTTATGGATTAAATCGTAAAATAATAAGGGTTTCTTTTTGATATCGTGATTCTTTGAATTTATTTGGTTTAGTTAGTTGAGTGGATACAATTTTTGACTTATGTCTGGGACTCAATGGGCTGATGGGATACCGGCAATTACTATGCATGTTTAAACTTGTTCGTCTTATCAAAAATCGATCCTTTGGGCTCAATAAACTTTCTAGGGCCTTGCAGCTACATTATGCATATCCACGTACATATGTATCCACCCAGTATAATATAGGTAGATATATATGTCTTACATGTAAGAGCTCCCGACGCGGAGCGAATGATGGCCCCCGGAAGCAACTTCAGCTGTCTGACATGGAGGTGATTCGTTGGTCAGCCTAATATAGGTACATATGTATATACCTACAGATAACTCGAGATAAAAGAAAAAAGAAAAACAGTGTAGTGTATTAGGTACTTTGTTCTAGCAAACATGGGTTGGGATCCGACTTCCCGTTACGGGATGGGTCTACCAATAGGAGGCGATTTTAGCTCCTCTGCCAGGGGTCAGTATGTCAGGTCCTAGTCGCCACGCCTTGGGCGGCAGCGACTTACTCCACTAGAAAACCCAATAGACGGAGCACGGAAGTGGAAGTGACGGGGCTGCGGTGAGGATGAGGTCTTTCCATATCGACACGTTCACGTTCGATCTGGACAGCAGGCAGGCACAGGGGGTAATTGGGGATTGGATTGGATTGGATTGGATTGGATTGTACGTGGTGGAACTTACCTAACCCGCGCGTAGATTATGTAGTATATAGTACTGTATATATCGTTATCAGCTCCCATATCGTAACATATCATAACATATCACAACATATTACTTCGTACATACAACCGCTTCTTCCGTGATCCCGTCCGAGCAGCCGAGCCGATACATCACCTTCTACCTCTTCCTTCTCCGAGGTCTATTTACATACACCGTCATTTTGTCCTTCATTGGCCGATATGCGTCCGTAAAAGCTTTGTGTACCTTGTCCAATAACTAGTTGTTTCTACGGTTTACACAGGTACAACAACACTCCCAATCTACACCCCCAATCTTATTGGTACGAATAACTTGTCACTTGCAACCTCAAGTGACTGTGCAGCACTCTTATGATACCACTCAACGCAACAATTCTCACCGCGGTTTTCGAAGAAAGTACACGCTCGATCGATGGTATTCGCACTTTGTCCTATTTTCAAAGTTCCATTTTCGCCGACTATCTTCGTGTCTCTCCAAATCTCTAGGTAAAAAATATTAGCGACGATCTGCACGACTCAATATCTCATCTACCTAAGACACCCACTCTGTCGTTGATGGCCCTTCTGAGGTGCCTCACGTCACCAAGATGCTAGCTCATCGCCTATTCGATACATTGATGCTTCCCACACTCGGCGGGCTGGCTCTCCTACCGACAACGTGGGCCAAGGATACTCAATATATCACCGGCATGAGCCTCGACGGCGTCACGGCAAGTTTAGCGCTCGACAGACGACCTGCCTTATATACGGGCGATTTTGGTGATTGTCTTGGTGGACAAAGCTTGCTGAATGTCACCAAGTTCGACGCCGCCTTCTACTACGACAATTCCACCGTTCTCTTCCACCTCGACGGAACTACCAATATACGCAATGAAGCTGTTATGCGTATGAAAACTAGTCCCCCGTGCGACAACTATCGGCTAACTGTCCCTCTAGTATATATATCCGTCGAAGCTTACGGCGAAAGTAGATTTGCCATGGCCGTAAACCCGTGCAATGTGAATATCTATAGGTACGCTTATCTAACTGAGCTTCATGACCCCGGGCCCCGATGCTAACAATTCCAACCAGCATGTGCCCTATGAAGGCCGAACAGCCCATCGAAGCCTTTGCCTTGTTACCAGTCGGCCCGCTACAGGTTTCTGGAATCCCGCAAATTGCCTACCAAGTTCCCGACCTCGAGGGGTTCGCGAGGATACAGGTATTCGCTAACTCTAGCCAAACCGAAATTGGCTGTTTCCAAGCCGTCATGAAGAACGGGAATACATTTTCGCAACCTGAATCCATCAGTACCGTCTTGGGCGTATTTACTCTCGTGGCCATGATAGCTTCGTTTGCGACGGCAGCCTATGGTGTTAGCATACCCCATATGAGGAGTCATTACGCTCATTCATTGTCTGTCCTCGTCATATTCGAAACCTTCCAGTCCATATTTTACTCTGGCGCGCTATCACTACCTTGGCCCAGCGTACTCCCGGCGTGGTGGAGCAACTTTGCGTGGGCTGCTGGCTTGGTACCTAGCACTCAGGTGGTGAATTCGATTAATCCCTTTGTTGGCGTCAGCGGCAACGCAAGTCAGGTCGGAGGAGCTGGTACCACGGTCATCAACAACCAAGGAGGTCTCACTCAACAGATTTATGGCCGTTCGCTTATATCGGACGTCGTTATCCAACTATCTAGGAGAGGCCCGGAGATTTTGAAGGGCGCCGTGAACGCTCTGGTGAAGAGACAGCCTTACGATCCGAACGATCCCTACGATTATAACTGGAATGGCAATCCGGTTCATCCGGGGATGCCATTACCTGGCACTTCGCCTGGGTTTGCGGGCGAGCTATCCGCGTTAAGCATTCCTGCTCCGAATGCGTTCATGGTTGGGTTAGTGTGGCTCCTTGTCGTGCTTGGGCTTGTGGTTGTCCTGCTGGTGGCTTTCAAATATTCCCTTGAGGGCTTGGTGAAGCTTAAATGGATCAAACAAGATCGCTTGGAGTATTTCCGATCCCACTGGACCGGCTACTTAAGCCTTGCTGTTCTAAGGACGTTATTCATTGCGTTCTTCTCTATTACCACCCTGGCCATGTTCCAGTTTGCCATCCACGGTTCTGCTGGACCGACTGCAATAGCTGCGGTTGTTTTCATTATTCTACTGGTTGGTATGGGTAGCCTGGTCTTATATGCACTATACTTTCGGTTGCGTTTTAGCACATTCTCTATGGATCCAGACCGGATCTTGCTACGACGTGGTAAGATATTTGGGTACGTTCCCTGCTTAGTACCAGTCCGTCTCAGTCAGTTGAAAGAGGAAGAATCGAAAGAGAAGCCAGCTGGTTCCCTGCCTTTCGTTCGCTGGCATTTCGTTGATAAAGACACCAATCGGAAAAATGTCCACCAGGATGAGATGTATGTGAAACGATTTGGCTGGTTATCTGCGCGCTATCGGCTCTCGAGGTGGTGGTTTTTCGCCTTTTGGCTGCTCTATCAATTCGTTCGCGGCTGTTTTCTAGGGGGTGGTTCGGGCAATCCCCTCGCCCAGGTTTTCGGACTGTTCATCGTCGATATCCTCGCTCTTATTGTCATTGCTGCCCTTAATCCCTATGAAGGGCAGCGTAATACCGCTCTGGCGGTTTGGTTGCTAGCACTCACCCGCGTGATAACCACCGGCCTCTCGATTGCTTTTCTCCCTGATTTTAATCTCAACCGCATCGTGGTCACAGTGATCGGGGTCGTCATTATTGTGATCCAGGCCCTTCTTACGATTGCGGTCATGATTCTGATAATCCTCGGCGGCATATCCTCGTGGATGTCACTGTCTCGAAATCGCGAATACTTCACTACGCAGAGCCTTGAAGGAATCCGAATTCGCTACTTTGAACACATTGAGCAAAGCGCAACTGACCAGCCTCCCCCACCGAAACCTAAATCGAGAGCAGCGACGGAATCAGGTTCTACGGAGAAATTCCCAGAGCTACCACCAGCGCCCTACTTCACTGTTAAGTCTGTTCGACGAGCTCCCAAGATCGCAGATGAGGATGATGACTACCTGACCGATATAAACCCGGTTCGTGTGTCGCACGGTCCTGTGGGAAGGGCTAGCCGTACTGCTAGTATCAGTTCGCGGCGTTCAGTCAGCAGTATACCCCGCGGAGCGAAGGTGCAGCGCGCTTCGTGGAGTTCCAGGGACTTTTCTCAAGTGGACCTAGATCGCCCCAATCCTGTTCTCGTGAGGCGGATGAGCGGCGGTACTCGGCCTGGCTCTGCGAAGATTGCCGATGGCTTACCGGGACAAGTCTTGGGGACGCCGGGCCCTAGTCGCCCGATGACTCCTACGAAGGAAGTCCCCGAGAAGGAAAAAGAATCCGAACTAGATGGAGCGAAGGAAGTCGAGGTTGAGGTTGAGGTTAGGAAAGACGCTGAGAAGGGCTTGGAGGACTCTCAATAGTCGTGGGGATCCTTGGACACTTCCGGGATGGTACTTATTAAGTAAGTAAGGATCAGGTACGAATCGTGGGTTTGTATGTACCCCGTGTCCTCTGCGTTTGTTCATTTAGGTTCTGGCCGGTTATACTATACCCCTTAGGCGATTTTATTCTAAAAAGCACGCGGTAGATTAGTGCATTCATTGGGCGGCGTTTGGTTTATGAGGGAGATGATGGTTATGAGACATGAGATGGACGTATAGGAATGGAATGGAATGGAATGAAACGAAACACTCGGGGTGCTGTATATTTGAGTGAGTGCTACGGCTTGGCCTACTATGCTTTTTTTTAAGTTATTGGACTTACTCGGAAGTCGAGCTAAGTTAGGTGGGCGTATATACGTAACTACATCTTAAGTTAAGAGACTCTGGATAGCTACGCACGCTCTAAAGGCAATAATTAGTATTACGAAATCGTTAGGATCGGGCCTTGGGATGTTTTAATGTAATGCTTGCTTGTGAGAGACGTCAGTGAATAAATACGATAAAATACTAACCTAGAGACGATGGCAAGGACCTAACCTACCTTGCTTTATGCGAAAGGCCGTAGAATAAATAGGGGCACGGTAAATAAGCCATCATTCTAGTTAGTCAAGATAATTACGAAACACAGGTACATAATAGTAATAACTACCGTAAAATACTCAAAAAAGAATTATAGACGGGCTCAAAAAGTAATGTTGTGCGTAATGTACATACGCAATGTGGTATCAATTCATTCTGACTGAACACGTTTATACCAGTCTTAACCCCCCCTTTTCGCCAAAGATTTCGTTTTTCATTGCCTCATCCATCCATATATACCTCGTCCATGTGCCCCCTAAATCCCAAAATCCCGCAACCAGCGCCAGTTCAGCTAGCTAAATAGATAGATAGATAGATAGATAGATAGACAGATAGATAGTAGGTGATAATAATAATGAAAACGATATACGCTCTCTCTCTCTTTCCCCGCCTCTCTCTACCTCTGTCCTTCTAATATAGGTAGAATATAGGTAGTCAACTATAGTTATTTTCCGTGTATGCGTCCGTATAGCGACAGGAACGCTTCATATATAGGTGGTATCCGTGGAGGCTTACTATTCCGTGTGCACTATTAGATGAGCAGCGGCGCGGTGGCGGTAGGCGGCGCTAGGAAACAATACACAGAGAGACTAGTAGTAAGAAGAGAAGAGAAGAGAAAATAGAAAAGAATATCGTGTGCTGCGTAGAATCTCAAGCGGCAGCCGTCGTCATGGACAGCCGGTTCTTCTTAGGGGCCTTGGCGTTCTTAGCAGCCGCCGCCTTCTTGGAGTCGTCCTCTACGGCCTTTTGCGAGAAGTCTTTCCACTTCCTCCACCCGTCGAAGTCGATCAGAGCCTGCATACAGCCCCATTCCATCACCTTCCTCTCGAGCCAGACGAAGTTGACGGGCTGCACAAAGTTGTGCGTTAGTAGAGCCCACGCCTCAGGTTTGGAAACTTGCTTGCTTACCTTGGTTAGGAAATCGTTACAGCCAGCAGCCAAGGCTTCGTGCCTGTCGCTCTGTAGGGAGCTAGCCGTGAGAGCGACGATGATGACGGGGCTCTTAAACATCTCCGTATTGACCAGCTTATCTTCCTCGGCAGGTTCTGCCTTAATCTCGTCCGGAGGGCTGCTGGCGGACGAGGAGAAGACGCCGATCGAGTTAACCTTCTCTATCCTCCTAATCTCGCGGGTGGCCTCGAGACCGCTCATGACGGGTAACTGAATATCCATCAGAACCAAATGAAACCCGCCGGCGCGCCACTTATTCACTGCCTCTCTACCGTTCATAGCCGTCTGCCACCTGACTTTTAATCGCTTAACGAAGGCTTCTAGCAACTTCAGGTTGATGATGTTGTCTTCGACGATGAGAACGTTAATAGGGGGGACGCCGCCATTTAGCATGCCCGGTGGCAGCAAGGGGTGTTCGACAGGTTTCTTCTTCTTAGGCCGGTTGACGAGTCGCGGCGAGGAGACGCGGGGAGGCGGAGTAGCGGTGCGTTCTGGGATGGGGGGAGTCGAGATGGCGGGAGCGGCAGGCGGGTGATTGGATTGTTCTGAAGATGCACCTGAATGAGTCCTTGAGCGCGGCTGTCTTGGGTAATTGTGCATACCGATAGGCGGCGCTGCGGGTTGCTGCGAAGCGAGGCCGCTCGGAACAGCAGAAACTGGTGATGCGGTGTGCATCCTCTGGATTTTCGGTCTTGAAGCCCCGAGTCGTCTCGTGCCGCCGGGAGACGGTAAGGGTGGTAGCTGACCACCATTGATAACGGTTAAAGAGGGAGGAAAGTGAAGTTGATGAGTGCTGTTGAGAAGTGTTGTAGCCGAGTTATTCGGGTGCTGAGCTGCAGGAGGATAGGGTGGGAAATAATCGGTTGCGGATTCGTGAGGCCTGTCGTCGGCGTAGTATCTAGGATTCGGAGAGGCTTTAGGCGTTCGGCGGCTTGGTATATCGATTAAGAGAGCGTCGTCGACGGACTGGCCACCAGGATAGTAGGCATCGAGAGTCCTACTCATGGGCTCGTCTGGTTGTAGAGGTCTACTCGTCTGTTGTTCTCTGTCGCATATACGAAGCGTCAGGTCCGGGGAATCGTATTGGCGACCTAGGGAATTTGCATATTTTCGCAAGATCAAATCGCGAACATCGTCAACTAAATCCTCCTCATTTATCGTGATCAATGTAGGAGAGGCCAGCGGCCTTTTAACCCATACTTTTCTGGTAACCATATTTCCGCTAATCGGTAGAAGTTGATCGACTTCGCCTGGACCTACTTCGCTGCTGGCATAGCCCGTATTGCCCGTGTTGCCTGTGTGGAGGAGAGTCTTGATGAAGGTGGTTTGGCGGTTCGGGATGATGCTCTGTCGTCTTGGCGGTCCTGTAGGTCGGGATAATGGTGATAAAGCGCGGCTAGAAGGAATAGGTAGACGAAGATGATCGTTTATGTCGTCGTCGGTGGTGTTATTTTCGTGGTCGTGATCGTGATCGTGATCGTTATTATTGTCGTTGTTATTATCGCGATGTTGAAGTTGGTGTTTTTGATGTGGATGATGATGTTGTTGATGATGTTGGTGATGTTGGTGATTTTGGTCTAGGATGCGTGGCTTAAGCTGTAAGAGGGAGGCGGCGGCGGGATGTTCATTGATGCTCGGCAGTGGTAATGGTGTGGCTGCGGTTGAGATTGTGTTGTTTAAATTGTTTAGATCAAGGCTTAAGATGGGCGTAGTGATAGCGGGAGTAGGCGCCGAATTGATTGTAGAAATTTGCAGATCCTTGCCGGTCTTATTAGATGGGGTTGAGGGGGTCGAGAAGGTTAAGTTGGTTAAGTTGGTCAAGTTGTTCAAGTTGTCAACATTAACACTCGAATTCGCATTTGCACTTGCACTTGCATCCACATCCGCATCAATTTCAACATCAACATCCCCGTCCAAATTTGTAGCCACAGCCACAGTTTTGAGACCTTTATCAGCATTATCAGTGTTATTATTCACGTTAGAGTTTCCAGCTAGGTTTAGTTGCTTCTCTAGCTCTGGTGGAACCGTCTCAGTTTCATCCCGATTTCGATCTTGGTCCTGGTCTCCGTCTCGGTATTGACTTTGACTTAGGGGGGCTTGACTCGGACTCGGAATCGGAGCTGGAATTGGTCCTGGTCCTGGTCCTGGAAATAAAACACCAACACCACCAACTCCAACACCAACTCCAACACCGCCAAACCCATTTCCTATCTTCTTCGGTGGACTATCATTGGAACGAATAGAACTATTACTCGGTCTATCCTCGTTGGTAGCAGCCGTACTCAACGAAGCCGCATAGCCCGTAGTAGAAGTTCGCGTACGTGTGCTGCTGGACGCCCTATCCTGGCCAAGACTCGGCTTGCTTGAACCCAACGTAGGAGTTGCGCTGTGTCTTCGCAGGAGCTTGGCCTTGATGCGGGCTCTGAAATCACCCATCTGACCGGCCGCTAAGTAAAGTCATAAGGAAAGGGATTGAACTCCTTTCTTTATTCTAAAAAAAATATTCTGGGTCGAGTCCACTGGACTTAATTAGTATGAAAGTATATAAACATAAACTAGAAAAAAAGGGATAGTTAGGGATAAGAGATGGGACGAGGAGCTTGTTGAAGAGAAGCCCCGTAGGTAGGTTTGTGCTTGTTTACATGCCGGGTGGATAAGGCGATATGATGATAGTAATAATAAAAATATATAAGCGTATAAATCACATACTGTAGGCAACTTTTTTTTTTAAAAACACGATCTGGCAGCATGCAGTACCTATGGTATGGTAGAAACAATCTTATTAGCGGGAGGCAAAAAGGAAAAAAAAAAGGTGTCGTCTGGCATCCATATCGTATGCGCCTGCGAAGCTCCCGGGACCAATACCAAATGTTGCCAACAACTAATAAACCGAACTTAACCTAATAACCTACCTTAAATGTATTGGCCTTTAACTGTATTGGAACAGGTACAGTGGTAGGCTGGCAGGATGAGATGGATGGTGTGACAGGCGGCCCAGACTTTTCCCTGTTCCAAGCCTCCAAGCCTCCAAGCCTGTCCAAAAGTCGCTTGTGCTTGTGGGTGTTTATCTCCTTGGGGAATTATGGGAGCTCCCCATGCATAAGGGATCGCGATCACTGATGAGCTAAGCATGGATATAGTATGGGATAGGTAACAAGGATTCCCGCAACATCGTGGTCGACGCGTCTCGATTCAATTCCAGTTAGGTTGAGGCTAGGTCGAGACTTTTACATTAGTGCCCTCCCAGTCATTAGGCCTAATATAACCATAGGCGGGATTTCTAAGCCCCGGCTAAAAAGAGGGAGTAGTGGTGTAGGTATGTAGTATGGTGTACGTTTAGCGGAGGAGGCGTCTTTTCGAGTACCTACCTTTCTCTCGACTCGTAAAATAGCCAAGATAATAGGAATCAATAACGATAATAAAAGCGAAGGGGAAAAAAAAAAGAAAAGAAAAAAAGAAAAAGAGATAATGCAAATATAGCAGTATAGGTTGTTATATGCAGTATGTGAGTTGGATGCGTGCAAGTCGCCAAGCATTTACTATTGATTCGAGGATTTAACGGTCGTATGGAGTAGGTAGACGATACTGTGTAGTGAGGCGCGAGTCAGGTGGAATTGCCGAGGACGCCTCCAAGCTAACGATAAGCAACATGCAGAGTGAGTGACTTGGGTATTGCTGCATGCGAAGACAGACAGACATGAACGAGGAAAAGACACCTTTTTTCTTTCCTTCTTGAGATGCAGTTGGTCGAAATCCCCGGTTTGATACGAGCAAGAGACGCTGCAACAGACGAAGCAGTTAAAAAAAAGAAAGAAAGAAAGAAAGTTAAGCTTCGAAAACGTCCCGCCAGCAAAACGGGACCATATGTCCGATATGTAGGCATGTAGCGGAAAGGACCCGAGCTTGCCCGTTTGCTTGGGCTCTGACTTCCCGTCTTACCTATCTGCAAATTCCCCCACTACGGATTACCTACACAGTAGGTACATGTCCATATGTACACTATTTTAAGTACCCAAGTACCAGTGTTTCATCAAACAGGAATTTCCGGAGTTTAAATCGCCGTTTCAATATTCTTCCAGCTCCGATACCCACCCACCAGTGGACCTAAATTTTTTTTTTTTGCAACGAAGATTTTCACATTACGGTGGATTTCCCAATTAAATATAAAAGCTTCACCCTCACCCTCCGCGAGTCGAGCTGTCATATGCTCCTGCGATGCCACCACGCATACCAGGCCCGTCGACGGTATCATCCGCCTTGACCCGATGCGCAGTCCCATCGGCCTCGAGTCGGAGTCGATGTCACCCGCAGCAGCCATGTCCTCCTCCTCCCCAGAGCAAAGCTAGCTTCTCAACCACTGCAAGCCGGCCGCGCTTCACCAAGATCCGCCGTGTCTTCAGGACTTGGATCAACGGCCCAGGCTCCACTTTCCGTAAGCATAGGCGCAACGGTACCAATTATCTTCAGAGCCAAGCGGATAAAGAGCGGAATGTTGATCGCCCTTTCCCCCTCAATCCCCATTTCATAAGCCAGCCCGTCTTAGATGACCACGCGAGGGAAATAATATGGCACAAAGTGATGCGGAAGGGCGAGCCCATCAAAGCCGTCTCTGCCGAACTAGGTGTCGATATTAGAAGAGTAGCTGCCGTTGTGAGGTTAAAGGAAGTCGAGAAGGACTGGGAAGCCAAGGTTAGTCGTCTCTTACACTTTTTCCATTATTCAAATCCTCCCGGCGCTTTGTATGATGATTATCAACATTACCCAATTCGATAAGTCTTTAAGACAACTACATGGTTACAAACTTTTGTTGCGAGCCTCTCTGATAACAGTCGCCTCTCACAATTCTCACTTGACATTTCTTCTCTTGAGAGTGCCCCGTTGCTAACATGCTGCAACATCAGGGCAAGAAGTTGGCAAAACCATATGCCAGAGCTGTGCTGAGCATGTTACCTACGCACACGTTTAGAATCGACCGATGGAACCAGCCGTTCGAACCCATTAACGAGCTGCACGTACATCCGTACACCACGAAGCAGATCTTTTGGCCGACGTCCGAATCGCGTCACTTCACACGTGCCGACGCGGCCAAGGCCTTCCACCCGAAGCTGCTGTCGGCGGACCAGCGTGTTCCCCACCCGGAATTAATCCAGATGGAGAAGGATCTTCTGCAAGGTCGGCCACTGTGGGATGCCTCGGAAAGGTTCAAGCAGGCCGCGATGGAGTCGGAGAGGAAGGCTGCCGACAAACAGGCTGCAAAGGCTGCTCTAGAGGAGAAATTCACTACCCGGGTACGCTCGAATCGTTTCGAGTTCCGCTTCAAGCAGATCAACTCGGAGAACGTCGGCGCTAAGGGCAGGGCGCGGCACGCTGTCGGCTGGAGGTATGGTGCGCCGTACTACGACCGTGCCAAGGGCGAAATCAAGATTCCTACCTCAGTACCTTGATCTAGTGTTAGGCGAGAATACTGTTCAAGTTATCGTTGCGCCGGGATCCTATACCTGCGACGGTGCCTTCGGAATTACTGCAGCTATGTTAATCAGCTTATCTGAGCAGAGCGTCAGACAGTAGAACGGAGGAATGTTTGTACGAAAAATGTATGAATATCTAAGTCGAAAGACGCATGGAGCGAGTTGGACGTCTTGAGGGTCCATGAATGATGTCTATCTATAAGGAGCAGGCCAAATTCGGCATCCAGCTTTCTGTATACATATTACTCAAGACTTGCATATACCCACCGATTTACAACAATAGTTTGGCATGGTCCTGCCATGGCAGCACTCCTTTCTCGTCCACGTCGACGATCAGGTTGCTTTGTAGCTGCCTAACCCCGTCAGGTGATAGTAGTCCCAGGTCAACGACACACTTTTCGACTGATCCATAGGTATTGCGGATCTTAGCCAATGTTCCCAGCATGGCCTCTTTCCTATAGTTTCACAAGTCAGCCTCCTAACACGCAAATATATCATGAGACAAAAGCTAAGTGATAAAGAGTAAAAATATTAATGGCAAATCGGTGAAAGGGAGGCAGTGAAGTCCCAATGGAACGGGCTGGTTAGTTTAATATACGAAGCAGAAGTAGGACATACTGGGATGAAATCATCCTCCTAGCAGCTACTGGGTGTTCCCGTAGCGTCGGGTTGCTCATCAGATGCGCAATGAGCTCCTCGTGACGCGACTTGAGCCCCAGGTCCGTCAAGCTGTACTCATGCGCTACGACCTCATCGGGTACACCGCATAAGCTCAAGATCAGCCCGCAGATCACTCCGGTGCGATCTTTACCGGCTGTGCAATGGATGAGGCAGGGCGCCGGCGGGGAGGATGTAGGTGAGGCTAGATGCTCTAGTATCGTCTTGAACGGCGCGTAACTGTTACTCGGCGAAGCCCCCGCAACAAGTATATCGTGGTATGCCGCTATAAAACCCTAGTCAGGACATGTCAGTCTAGGTGCATACACGGGTTGAGCTGTCAGCCTCTCGGAACGACTTGAGCAAGAGATTTGGTAACACGCAAGCATGAGGCAGCCTGCTTCGAGCGAGTGGTGAACGGAGTACGACGAGGCGAGCGTAACTGCCCAACGGACCCCATTCACTTATCACCGCTCTTCAATCTTGGCCCAAAACGAGGCCAGCGAGGGGCTTTCCCGCCCCCAAAATACAAGTAAATGCAACTGTATATTCCCTCAGCCCCAATCTCTTAATAATCCGCTTGCTTGATCCTAATTTTCGGACCGAACTAGAAGGGATAGGCAAAAATCCAGCAACCCAGAAAGCCAACCTGCGTTGTTCCAACATGGATCTCCGCGGCTCTCTTTAGCGCGTTACGCGCGTAATTGCAATACGTACCTCTGCATGTTCTGAAGCATAGTTCTTGTACCTAAGAGCTAATGCTTCGGGAGAGTAGTCCTGATCTAGGAAGACGGGAACGAAATGGCGGCTCGCACCGTCCCATTCTTTAATCTTCCAGCCGTAGCCGTCGCGCAAGCCTTTCTCGATCTCCACCGCCGAGCGCAGGTCAAATACCTTCGCAATACCTAGGTCCTGCAGCTTCGACACACCGTCGTCGGTGACCTTGGACGGCTCCGAGGAGCGGAAGACCAAGCCGCGGCGCACGACCTTGGAGTCACCCACTGGGTAACCTCCAACGTCGCGGAAATTGGGTAGACCAGAAATTGGCACAAATGGCGGACTAGGAAGTTCGGTTTCCGCCATTTTCCTTTTTCTTTTTTTTCCTCTTCCCTTTTGTACGAGGTTGACTAGGGGACCTTGGGAAAAGGTGCCTTTTGGGTTAGTTTCTTCCTCCGCGTGAGGCTGGCCTGAGATGTGTACAATAAAGTGAGGACGTAAGCTGTCAGAGGAGATCCGGAGCAATGATTTTCATACATAAAAAGGGACGGATCTAGGGATGAGACGCCACATGCTGTAGTAAACAACAGATCCAACCAATGAGATACCAAACGCCTGGATCAAGTTTCGATTGGTTGGTCAATTGATCAGCCAAGGACATGCCCCTCTACACTACCTTGTTTGTATAAGTCGGATTCCACGATAAGTGGCTCATTGGGCTCTGTGAGTTGTCAATGGAAGAATGCTGGTATAACCAACACAGCAGCAACATGGATAAATCTATTCGCCCAATTTTCGGTGAATAGAAATTGTATGTATTCCAAATTGTAGAAATGGTGAAAGATGAATGGGAGCGAAACGAGGGGGAAAAAAAAAGGAGGGGTTGTAACTAGGGCCTAGTTGTAACACAATAACTACACAATTTGACAAGTCCCAATCTGCGAAACGTGCATATATGTACTAATCGTTCATGTATATTCTATATGCGAACGGTATGTAGGGAGTACATACTTTGTAATGTACATTATGTACTACAACATATCTGTACTATGTATATGTACATATCGGCGTGTAACCTTGGCACAAATCCATATTTTAGTCAGCCATTATCTTATCTGCGTAATCCGTAACCCAAAAATATAATAATAATAACCAGCTGCAACGCATTAGGTACCTAACCTAACCTAAGCCAATTATGTACGCCATAATACGCCATACATGTAATATGATATACACGACCAGCCATCAATCACATGCAGGACCCTTGTGATAATCTTGTACGGAACCGATTACTTTCCATCCTTCTCTCTCATGTGACGAGTCCTCCACCCGGAGCCTCAAATGTGGAGACAAACATCAACACGTAACCCCATGTCTCAAAGTTACAGCCCAGTATTTATCAACTTACCTACATACAACTTACCTACCTGATACATGTACATGCATATATACAATCCTTTAACGCAACAACCCAGTACGTGCAGTGCAGTTTCTTCCAGACCTGTCAAGTCCCCGGATATTTCTCAACCGCAAACCGAATTGAGAAACCGAAGACGAAGATAGGCAACAATGCGTCGATGATGTGTCTCGGAACCCTCAATTGGGTCTAGCCGAGTGACGGCATGGCATAGGTACATACCGTTAATAAACGCCCGGCCGCATCCTTACTCAGCTTGCAAATTACTCAAGTATACCAAAGGTGGAAAAGGGGGGCCGGATGTATGTATGTATGTATGTATGTGTATAATAGATTGTACATAGTAGGTAGTAAGTAACCTTTATCCCCACCGCCATTCCCAGTATGTATGAACACTTCTGGCTGACGGATCCGCCCTAGCCCTTTCTTCTTCTTCCTGTCAGGTCGCATATAGATGGCCTAGAAGGGCACCTAGCCCTAGCTGCCTAGTCGTTAGCGTTGGAAGCCTTGGGATTGCCTCGAAAATTTGGCGTGAGCTATGGGAGTCGAGACTAGCTCAAGGCTGTGTCTGCTAATTGCCGGCGGCGGCGTCCGCCCCTGGCATCAGGGGTTGGCGTGAGGCTCGTTGCCATTGGTGCTGTTCGATGCCTACATTTTTCGGTATACCTTAGGTAGCTTTAGTGTTACTTCCCATAAGACTTCCCGTAAGCAGAAAGTAAGTAGTTCCAGCGGGCGTAACCGTAGTAAGTGACATAGATATACATACATAGTTGGTCATTCCTCTCTGTCAATATAGGGGTAGGTACCAGAATATGTACGAGGATGCGGTAGCAGTACGACTGACTGTATCTACATTAGCTGCGTCAGGATAGTTGTTGGTCCTGGGTTTTGTTGTATCGAAACAGTTCAAAGTGTAACCGGCGGCTGGTTCCTAAGGCTCATGCATGCATGTATGGTAGCTGCGCATCCTTTAGCTGCATTTCCGCCTGAGTCTAAATCCCTTGACGATATGCGAGGCGAGTCACAAGGGATCCGCGGTTGGGACAGCCAGTTTCGGAAAGTCACTCTTCCAACGATGGCATTTTAGGTGTTGTCAGCCGCATGTCACCTTCTGTGTCACCATCTGTATAACCATTAAAGTGTTATAACCGTGAGGATTTTCTATCTGTCTATAGGTAGTACATAATATAGTCTGAGTCTGCGCCGCTCCTGTGTTTCCCGAGATGAAGATAAATCCCGTGTAACTAAAGCATAACCAGCGTGAGCTTTCATCTACATTGATTCCGTCCAATCCACAAATGAGAGACAAAGGATATCCGAACTTTTGGAACTTTTAAAGACCGTATGACCTCCACTAGTCGGAAAAAGAAAGACGAGGATGCCGAAGTGTATGTTTAGTCCGGAGCCTCCCGAGGGAAAAAAAAGGGGGGGGGAGGGAAACCCTCAGCTTAGCATGAATGCTTGCCATGCTCGATGCCTAGCCTGGGTATTTATTTCGGTTTCCAGGTACTGCAATAGCTGCACCTTGTATGCCCACATTCAACGCAAGCATTATCGTAGATGACTGAATTATTACCACCAGCGGTACAGTTGCACTCCGGGTACGTTAGTTACAGACAATAGATAGTAAAGGGTCAAGTAACTCACGCATTTCCAGCGATGCTCTGCCGAGGCCGACGACGTCAGCACCGGTGATGATTCGCGAGAGAAATAGCCAGTGATAGTGTTATCATCGTAGTTTTCCTCGATACCGTTTGAGTAAGCAATCTGCTTGCAGTGTGCGTGGAACGGAGCCATGGTAAATATTAAGGATTTTGTGAAATTCAGTATAAGATAGTGGTGTATATTCGATAAGACTGTTCGCTATGAATCGAGTAACTAGTAACTTTCGTAGACGAGTGGTGACGGTAGATCCAGGCATCAAGAAGGAAGGACTCGCAATGGGCTTTATACCCATCTTGGAGACTCACAGCCCAGCATCGTAACCAACTAGACACAGGGATGAATTCGAGCAAGCTGGTAGTCTCGAAGCCATATCTGGTTGTTACGCTGATAGACTTCCAGTGGCTCGGAATGTCAGCGTCGTATGACTGACTAGGACTCGGTCAGGGAAGAGGATACGCCTAAGTATCGAAACCCTACATCTAAGTGGTTAGGCACGAGATTGGCGAAGCTAACAGGCTTCCCAGTCGACGGCATCGCCATTTTGATTGAGTAACTCGAACTTCGACATGTGACGCAATTTTTCCCAACGAGAAACCTAGATAGATTCGGTAGGACGAGTTCCACTTCCTTACACCCTTCTCGGTGGAATATAGGATGTTGATTGACGCATATAATCCTCAATATTGATTGCGGACGACGCTTTGAGGAGACCGGAGATTCTTTGACAAGTGCTCCCACAGCCACTATACAGTTTTCGGTAACTTCTTCGCGATTATATTGGCTCCCGCCTGCTCGGTAGCCCTGTTATTCAGGCGACAAGGACCCAACAACTGCACAAAGAGTCGCATTGCATAGCCATGAGGCCCGACGGTCGTAGGGCTGATTCCCCATGCACCACCATCCCCTCTCGAACCCCGTGAGTCGCGCCAGTAGACCTGTCATCTGTACGACCGCCAGCCATTATAACGCGCCCTCTACCGAAATTAGGAGACAGCTGAACTAGGCGCATACGCCTCAGGCGGTCTGGAAACCAGCGTTGGCATCGACGGGAACTAACAAGCGGTCCGCGTATACGAGGCGGGGGTGGCCTTGAGGTTTCTTGAAAGCAAAAAAATAAAAGGAGGAAAAAAAAAAGAAAATTTCATCTTCAGATATATGATGTAAGCGAAGGAATCCAACGGTGTAACTGCACAGCTGAGATTCATACTCGGACATGATAAGCGGCCGCGTACACCCCGAGCGACCCCGGAACTCAGCCGGCGTCTTTAGCATCCTGCGACGGTTCTAAGAGTCGGACGTGGGCCTTCATCACTTATATATCCCAAATTGTTAAGTCCTAAGCTTTGCTATATTTGGTGAAATCCAGAGAGGTGGTTTGTTCATCATGCGGCTCTCCGAAAAAACATGTCGTGAGACTTAGAGACGTGCAACAATTGGAGGGGTATCGGGGTTGGGGTTACCTCTCATTGGACGTGGATTGATTGTGAGAGACGGCCCACGTTGCCCGACTATCTTAGATACAATCTTAGATACAAAAGATATCTCCTTCGGAAATCTCGATCAACGAGCCTCAGAGATCTAGCAAGGAGAGTCCATAGCTGACAGCCTCGGAATAGCCCCGTAAAGTAACCTCGTCAAGTTTGGTTTTAACCCCCACGTTTTCAGCAGTAAAGACTATTGCATATCTGATTGCTGCTGATGATGATAGCCCTTGAGGCTATTGAATGCGAAACCGAACCTATGTCGCCACTGGTAACAGGCCTCCGAGCGAATCCAGCCTCGATCCTACCGAGATGTCAGTGTCAACTAACTATGCAGTCTTTATCAAGGGTCTTCTCAAACAGGTATAATACTCTCTTTAACTAGTTAGTGTAATCGCTAAAGAACTCATTAGACCATTTAAAAGCAAAAGTACCCAAGTTTTAACTAACTACCTACCTTACCTATTAAGAGGTATGGGTTTAAGAATCTAACTTGTTACAATGTAGTTAGTTAATTAGAAATGCTTTTTCGAAAGTCTACACGAAACTAGGTTAAGTAAAAGCACTTACACGGCAAGTGGCCGAAAAGTCCAGCGGGCTGCCTTCATTCATTCGCCAATAGCATTTAACTAGCCATTAACTAGCCCATTCTTGGCATGCCCAAAGGAGGCAGATCTTGTCGTCCCAATTAGGAAAATCTACAAAGATACATCATATCGGAGTCTGGGGGCTAGACACATTTGGAAGCACAGACGCATAGTTCGTCATGGCTCGTCATCGTTTATCCTTTCTCACAAACAGGGATAAGACGCCTAAACGGCCACAAGCTTCTCACTTCTATCAATTATATTTAGCTCCATCTTCAGCTCAAAGTTGTTTGTGTTTTTCCACAGCCATTCTTTTTGCTTGCGCGTGCTCAGCATTGTATCGTCATTAAAGCCTGCGGCGATTTAGTAGTAGTATTAGCTACTCGACATCGCAACTGACATTCTTTCTTCGTTAACTACGCCGAGCGTCGCGACTATGAGTATCTGGGGCATGACAGCGAGCTATTTGCTCTTTTCTCTCCTTCACTTTGCCCAATTCGTACTTGCCGTTGCTGTTTGTGGATTATACGGCGTTGATCTTTCGCGCGCGCGTTCTCAGGGCAAATACATCGATGGGAAATGGGTATGCCAAATCGTCCCGTCCCCCCTCCCCCTCCGCGATAAGCTGATGTTGGGGTCTTTTCTTAGAAGTGAAAAAAAAAAAAGCTGACAGAAGTACTACTGTATAGGTCTACGCTGAAGTTGTGGGGGCTCTTGCCGCACTGACGGCTATCCTCTATTTCATACCTTTTATCCTACGATTTGCTGCAGTTACGATATGGAATTCTATCATGTTTATCTTGTGGATAGCGCTCTTCGGTCTGTTTGGTGGCATGTACATCCATGAGGACCCTGAAGGTAATGGCGACATCCAGAGGATGAAGAACGCCGTGTGGGTTGACTTAGCGAATGCACTGCTCTGGCTTATTGGATTTGTTGCGAGTGCCACTTACTGGTGGACCCACCGCGAGAGGCCAAGCCGCTTTACGGGCCGTGCTCATCTAGGCCGGAATTCGTCGGTCAGGTCCACCGGTTGGACGGCATAGTTATATCATATGCGGCTATCATATTGTTTGGTAGATCTGATAATTTTGGGGCCGATCTTGGTGGGAAAACTTGGGGTATGTGTGATTACGATGATGAAAGCGATGAGGGACAGTTTGGCGTTGAGAGAGGTTAGAATACCCAAAAACACGACTTGGATTTCTGAATAATTCGTCACGGATGTAAGAGTGACATAATCAAGAGTTGGAGTCGTTAGATATTCGAGGCTCTGCGAAGTCTATGCCACGTTGCATTCTTAGTCTGCAGCTCATTCGACTCTGCATAAAGCATCAATAAGAACGATATTGCTTATTTCTCAAAGTGCCGCCTAGAACATGACGTTTATTGCAACGTACTCCGAGGACTTGTCATCATCCGTTTAATTTATACCTACACCTCAACTTATACCCAACATACCTATATACCCAACATACCTATATACCCGCCGTAAACTCCCGGTGCCTCAAAACTACATGTCATACGTATACCTATGTAGATGAAGATGTATGAGAGCCTGGGCTTTATGCAGCCTTACTGACCTAGAACCGCCGAGCTGCGGATATATATATGTGTGCTTATTTTGAAAAATAAGACATGCGGTTAGATGAGTAGCTTTCCAAAGTGACTGCGTATATGCAATGCAATGTATCAATCAATATCTTACCTCTTATCATAGTTAAGCCCCTTTCACATGTCACTACGGAGCACAAGAAAATTTGACGAACTATATGTTGTTTTGTTAGGCCTTAATATCGTCACGTTGGTTTTGTGTGTGCCTGTTTTACGAATTTTGGTAGTATGTCAAGTGGATAACGCTACTACTTGAGAATCCCGAAATATGCGCCAAGGGGACCACCATCTACGTCATATTTCATAGAATTTGCTATCGAATTCTTTGTCTCTCCCTCTCGTTTGTTTAACGCCAGGGGAAAATGGGGATTTTCCCCTGTAGCCAAATTTCCAACTCTGTGGCAATTACAATTAGAATATATTCGACACTGATACATAGTAATGATGCTCTGCTTAGTTATTAGGACGCTATCGTCGATCCTTCAAGACTTTTTAACGGACCCCTGTCGAGATTGATAACCCCCGAGTTGGAAGTTGGGACCCCGCCGGAACCGCGCTTGGCGCATTTAAATCTCCTGCTAGAAAATTCGTGACAAGGGAACGGGCGTTGTGAACTCTACTAGTCAAAGATCTTCGTCACATAGACGTGCGATGAGGAATTACATATGCATATACGTAATAGCTATATAAATTGAAAGAACACTTAATTTCGACTATTCGGAGCAAAGAGAGAGATAGAGAGAGAGAGGGTCGAATTCAAGGCTAGAGTTTGAGATTGATAATGACGGCGTATATAGTACGTACCTACACGTGTAAGAGGAGAGTCGACGCGGAGAAGACCCAAACAGAACAGGGTTATTCGCTCGACGTAGACCCCGGGCGATGATGGGAGCCATGCTTTTTTCCCCGAGCATCGATCTACTAGTAGATCGGCGGGGGCTTACCTCTTTCTGGCATCGTCTGGTGCTAATGGTGCGAATACACTACGGATCCGTACATAGAGAAGGCATTGCGTACCTGTCGCTGACAGGCTCAGGTGCTTCATTTTCAGCTTCGTCGACAAAATTGCGAGACGTTGCGAGACGTTACGAGATGTGACTAGATTGTCGGAGTGATGTGTTCTTCGGTTCTCCTCCTTGATAGGAGGTTACGGGAAGCCGCCGCATACACGTACACGTACAGTTTTGACGGGTTCCTCATAGCCGCGAATTGAATTGTGCACAGCTGTAAATCTCAAACCCAACGCAGACGCTGGATGATCTCACAGAGGGACCTAGTTGAGCTGTTAGGTGCCCATCTAGAAATTAGCTCGTGGCGATAATCTAAGACAGAAGCATCAGCGGTAAAATTCGCATACGGCTATTTTTGGATATTTTACTCATTTTGTGATTGCATTCTACCCTTCGGGACTACAATCATTCCTTGCTGAATACATAGGGACGTAATGTCCTAACCTATTATGTAGAGTACTCTTGCGTATTATACATAAGGCATGTATCATAGACTAAGGTCTTGTGGGGACTGTGCCGACGCTAGAGTTCGTAGTGTCTAGAGGCTGTGTATATTTGGGCACCTAAAGTCGCTTAGTAGTTATGAGAACGGAGGCAACTTGATGTGCAATACGGAAACGTTGATCACTGTACGCTGGGTAGCAACACACCCAGAACACCCAACGTCCCAAGTAGCCGGGGTTTGCAGTAAACTGCGAGTTCGGGGACCGGTCATGTTTTGTCGCGGGCGGGCTATGATATAAATTTGATAGGGTAGTAAAGAGGACACGGTGAAGATGGAGGAGACTTAGGCGGATTTTGCTCCTCGACATCTTACACGCTGGCCGATATGAACCCTCCCCGGCCGGTATGGAGTTAATGGGAACTTGGAAGATGCAATCGGCCGAGCGTGCGAGGGTAAGCTAGAATTAGATGTCAGTCTAAAAGGTAGTTTGGAGGGTACCTACACTGCTACAGGCCGTGGCCAAGGTATGATTGATGTGGGTGGGACGCGTTAATGGTTAGCAGGGCTCGTACGATGCGTCCTCATCTCGAGGTTGGATGATCGTCAAGAATTACCCATTACGTACAAGGATACATTAATGCTAGCCCGACCTGTCGGCATATTGTTCATATATTGGTAGAATCATATCGAGCAATCGTGAGGAGAGAGAAGCCGATCGTAGACGATGCTGTAAATCTTATTATTTTTTTCTTTTCCCTTTTGCGCGTTGCAGTAGGCGGAAATGACAACTTTGATAGGGCTACCCAATGAGCGAAGGGTATCACATACGAATCTACCCCGGTACAAAACTGTCAGTTCAAATGTACTGTACTTCCAAGGTTCCTTCTGCACAAGGTGGAGTGGAGCCTACCTGCCTACAAGTTTAGTACTAGGTATGTATGATGATGTACTTGGATGTAGAAAGTCGAAGGATCCTTACGAAAAATTCTAAACATTAGGTAGGCACATACTTAAGAGGGACGATACACTATTGTATGGGGTACTTACATATATGTGTCGATGTGCTTACCTTTTTTTGTGGTTTGATACCTACATAAACTACCTACATCTAGATGCAACTTCTTACCAATCGCAACCACCCATCATCAATACCTTTTTGAATTCGAAGTGCTCTACTCCTTAAAGAGTTCCCGTACCTAACGCCACATTACCGCGTTTGGTAGCAATCATCTTTAAAAATATTATAGATATTACTGCGGTGATAATAAGTAAGCCGATAGCATATAAGACACCAGAAGGTACAGTACTAAAGCTTATTCCTTCGGATGGCTATACAGCGGACTAAGAGACTAGAGTCGTCATCTTATCAGAAGAAATGCTAGTTGATCCCGACTTTCCGAACATCTATCGCGACCGGCTTTATACGATATAAAGTACTTTCCAATAATCTCATCAGGGGGTCTGGGGTTTCCGTTTGAAAGGTATGTGTGCTTGGGTGTACTCTACCACAAGTAAACCTACCTAGTCGAATAGGTAGCCTCGACATCTGCAGGCCTTACCATCTACCACACACATTCACTCACACTCACTATCACGTTTACTTTAGCATCTCCACCACTGTTTAAACACCTGCTCTCTTTTGAACAACAATAATTCCGAGCAACTAAGAATATTCACATCATATGGCAAGGGCAACCGTCTCCCCCTCGGGTCAAAGGTAGACAATTAGAAATAACGAGCGGGAGGAAGCGGGTCTCTTCATACATACCTATCCATCCATCTATTCATCCATCCGTCCCTCCATCGACCTATTCCACCCGTCAGTTTAATCCATGGTCAAATTGCGAGTGGAGACGCCGGATACTTTATACACACCTACTACTCATTGCGCACTACCTAACGCACTAACACACTACGCACTATTCAGCCCGCCACGGGCCGGGACGGCGATCCTCTTTCGAAAACCAAATCTCGTTTCGATAACAACTCGTACTCCAATTTACCTATAGTTTACCTATAGAAGTGCGAGGTATCAACCCTCACGTTGGACATAAACCCACCGAAGTTTCTTGCCAAGGTAAGACACCTGACATAACCCCATCCTTCTTCGATCTATTGCATTGTCATGCTTGCTTGGTATTTGATCAAACACCGCACCGAACCGTCGCTTGCTGGGTAGCACGACTTCTGCATCATTTTACAACGTGAAGCACGTCGTCATATGAGAGGGAGAGATAAATTCCCAAGAAGCACCATTGGTATAAAACAACAAGTGGGAACCTCCACCGGTCCGTTCGACATATAAGGTTATTTGGACGACGGGCTCCAGTCTCAACAAATCCAACATACTCTTCGGCTTACCTATCTCATACCTACTTGTTTATGACTGGCTAAGGACTGTGCGACGTCTAATCCTAAACACACCAACCGACTTCTGAAGAGCCGTACTGACTGAGAGTCCTGTGGTCCATTAGGTTTCCCGATCTCTGAGTTTATTTGGGGTTCAGCTGCAAGGGCAGATTAGTGAGCTGCGGCTTAAAGGTACTGACGATAACATGGCAGGCTTCAGCCGTTCGTTTAAGCCATCTTCATACCTGTCTTCTATGAAAAGACGACCACCTCCACCTTCGAGAAATATGTCAAGCTCATCCGAAGCGTCGCCTCTCTCATCACCCGACATCCGGCAAGACGATATTATCTTCTCTACGAGACCTTCGCCAACACCGACGATGGATAATCCATCGCAAAAACAACACGGAGCTTCTCCAAATCTCAGACCTATTGGTGGTATGTTTATATATTCATAATTCTTGTTAGCGAGTGACGATCTTTTCACAATAAAATGGGTCGTTTACTTCAGGCATACACACGAGATGTGTTTGCTTTATTTTCTAATCCGGAATGCCGGTCTGCGGTCTGCGGTGAAGATTGCCATTTTTCGGCGTGTGACCCCGGGGAGGGTGATGGTGGTTGGATTGGTTCAGCAAGCCACTAACGCTGTCCAATGCCCCAATGCTCCAATGCCCCAATACTCCTCCAACTCCTCTCCACTATCAACCCCTAAGGCGGGGTGCATTTAAAGGATACCCTTTTTTCTTTAGCTCCTTTAGTTAGGTGGTTTTAGGGTCCCATAGTCCCGTTAACGTTCCCCTTTGAAACGCCCATCTATGCACCCCTCTGTCACTTGTCTTTGAGTCTCTGGTTCCACGTTTACGTTTGCTTTTGTTAAACTGCGTCATACTCGACCATTGCTAAATAAATGTCCTAACTGGTTCAGGAAAAAAAGATCCGGTGCTTTTCGATGCTCCTAGGTCAACACCTGCTCGAGCCAAACCAATTGCAATCGAGTTACCCACTGTAAAGAAGGTTAATAGTGCTCCCGTTTACACTCCACCTGCACCTCTTTCAGCTCGCGGCGATCTTCCTGGGTAAGTTTCTTGCTAGCAGTTTAGCAACTGTTACTAACAACCCTCGCCTGGTAATAGTGGTTATTTTCCCTTACACGAGGAGCAAGCCCGTATTTATCGTCCTCACCCGTTTCAGCTTGATGCTTCTCAGGCCCGTATGAAATCCATCGAACGTGCGAGCCTGTCCAACTCCCCCGGCCCTGAGAAAACCACTTCCGCTAAAGCGTCGAAGGGAGTTATTCCTTCTACTACGGCTCCCGTAACTATGCCAGAATCTAGTTTCGATTCCAGGTCTGATACCCCCGTTGCCAGCTACATGCCGACTGGCACCCAGGACAGCCCTCTACCAATGGGCAAGTATTATCCTTCCAACTATGTGAAGAGAAAAGAAGAAAAGCGAAGCCGACAGACTCGCCCATCAACGTCAACCTCATTGCCTCCGATGGGCTCCAAGTCGGAATCACTTGTATCTACCACAAGAGACTCTGCTACGTTGGGCCATTCACGGAACGAGTCCGATGCGAAACGTAGATTGCAGCAGTACCAGCGAGATATGATTGCTCAAGCGACGCTGGCTCTTAACGGTGGAAATGTCAACGCGGCAACGCTAAGTTCATTAAGGACGATCGGGTTTACAGCCGTGCCCGGGCCCGGCAAGCCAAGACTGGCACCTTTGGGATCTCCTGGACCCGTGACACCTATGGAACTCGAAAATGCCCAGGATGGTTACTTGGGAGCACGGAGCACTGCGGATATCCAAGTTGAAGAGATCGCACGGGCTATAAGAGCCGAAGAGGAACGCAAACGACGAGAGGGTACGACATCACCCACTGTTGAGCTGGGACCTAGCACATTTTAAAATCTCCCGCCGCCTTTGCGTATGATAAACAGGATACGTCGCTGTTACGAGATTTATCGGGATGGGATATTGTGGTTAATCGTCTAGGTAGCCATGGAGGTCTTTCCAACAGCCTAAATTCAGGCTTACCGTACCTAAAAATGGGGGGGAGGTCTCCTGTTTTATGTATCAACGATACCATTCTTTCGGTTCCAAGTTTAAGAATTGCATTGCGCGGTCTGGATCTATTTACCATGGCATTTTCACCTGTTTGACTGCCATCACGACCTCTGGCCCAAGCACACGTACCGGCGCCTCGAGCCGCGATGTTTCATTTGTCTCGTTTATGATACCCGATATCCTCAACAAAGACTGGATGATACAACAACAGCCACTACTACACTTGCATGCATGGATTCAACAGGCGTAGGGAATTGGCAGATAGGTTGTTAATCGCGCGGCAGTCTGACATCCGCCATCGTTTTTTTTTTTCCTTTTTCCTAAAAAAAATTCATTTGATTTGATTTGTCCCGGCCTCTATTATAGACTTACCTTCATTCTTGCTCTACTCGCTAAGAGGCAGCTCCCGCGTGGGCAATCCGTTCGTGTTGTTTGTTTGATATTGGAAATGGGGCTGGGTTGTACTTTTTGCTGGGTTTCGGAGGCGGAAAACGAAGATATTTATTTATTCGATCCAGAGAAGTAGCAGCTGTGACCGAGTAACTAACTCTTTTGGTTGAGTGCTAGGTTAGTTTCGTTTAGGCGGACGTAACTAAACTAACAGACTGAATGCACATATGTATTTTTAAAGCATCAAGAACTCATCATCATATCATGTTCTGACCTCACGTCATGATTTTTATAGTGAAGACTAAAAGAAGTGCTATTGTATTGTATTGACTTGAACCCCAATTTTGCTTTTTGCTTTTTCCCTTTTCTCCCTTTCGTACTTATAAATACCAAAGGTATGCATGCGTATCCTATTATAAAGGGAACGTAAATCTTTTCCCATTTCATTATCCATCCATCTACTCATCCACCCAGCCTTATCCGTTTATTTAGACATGACCGAAAGAGCGAGTAGAATGAATTCCCCTTTGAACCACCATTATAGAAACGAAGCAATACTTATTAAATATATATAATACCACATGTTCTGAATACCTGCGTTTTATTCCGAATATCTCCGATTTTTTTTTTAGTTACCTAACCTAGCTGGGATTTTCTCTGGACGTCCTACCTGCTAAGCTGCCTTACAGTAATTTGCCGGGAAGCTGCCCCGGACGCCGTCTAGTTCGCCCACCCACCAGTCCTGATCCGTGCCCGTCTTCTTGACGATTTTTATCCTGTCGCCTTCGCGGAAGGACAGGTCGCCTGCGTTTTGCCCGGTGAAATCATATTGAGCGATTACGAATTCCTCCAGCCGGTTTGCGCCTATCTTCTTCGGCGGTGGGGGCGGAGGAGCTTTCTTCTTGACGGCGATGGCAGCTGCAGTAGCGGCCGCATTGAATGATGCGCTGGGTGCATTCGTAGGCGCCGGCGAAGGGCGTCCGAAATAATCTGATCGTGGTTGAGTGGAGCCAGGTGATATGGCTGGTGTCAGGCCCTGGCCAAGTCGAGATGCTGTGGTGAAGTCTGTAGGCGTGAGATGGTTGCCAATAGTAAACGACGGCTTCGGCTTCGGCTGTATTGTGTTGCTTCCTTGGGATGACGCTATCGAGGCTGACGAAGGGATTCGTTTTGGCCGTGGGCCAGCTGGAGGTGGTGCGGAGTTACTGGAGCCGATGAGCCCAGACGGTGAACGGTGAAAGCCGTTCTCCGCGGTAGAAGAAGTGGCGGACGAAGTGGACGGTTTGCGATCATTGTTATTATTGTTGACGTTGCTTGGGTCGTCTGGAAGTTTCATTGGTTGTCGGACGGCCTTACCCGTTGCGATGCATGTTATGGATTCGACTTCGCGCTTGACGGGCTCATAAGCAGCCGACCACATCGATGTTACGGTTTCCATGGGTGGCGGTGGCGATGGAAAGTCATAGTCTTGACAGTAGTTGTGAAGAGTGGTATAGTATAGACCGAGCAGTCTATTCTGAATTACAACCACTCCTGCTATGAGCGGCGGTATTATACTGAAAGTCGCAGCCACGAGAGGTGGTAATGTTTCTCTTAGATGTGAGTCCGCAACCTCGAATTCCTATGGGGCTTGTTAGCTTCTATAAGCCATCTTATTTCGCATCGTATTAGAATCTGTACCTCAGCTGTTCGCGCAACTTCAGCTTCGGCTTTGGCCAGAGCAGCATCTTCCTTAGGAGTTCGAGAGACCTTCCTCTGCAATTTATTGACCTTGTCTTGACACTTCTCGTAATCCAACCTTCTGTTTTCCCGCTTCTTAATGGTCCTCCTTAAGGGAGCAATGCAGTCGCGGGCGTCGGTAGCGGGCTTAATTATTGTAGATTCAATGAGACCTACTTCCTCCAGTACTTCTGCCTTAAGTTCAGTATAGGCCTGTTTCAACTTAAGAGTACGTTCGAGCTGGAGATCCGGGGTGGGCACAGCTGTTGTTCCATGACCATCGGTAGCACCAACTATTGGGTCCCAGAGGCCGTCGTACTCGGTGACTATGCCTAGTTGCGCCATAGCTAGGTTGATCCAGGATTCGCGCCATGCCTTGGTGTGGTCAATGATCTGGAGATATAAACTGTTAGTACCGCGGGAGGCCAGATTATAGTAGACTAGGAATGATAGCCAGCATCATCAGCTACTATCTTTTAGTTCATACCTTAGCAAGAACTCTGTCGGCGTCCTCGTAGTCGTTTAATAGAACAGCGACTCGGGCATTATCTCCAGGGCTCTTGTGGAGTAATTTTCCGAACTGTCTCTGCATAGATTGCATGGTGGCTTGTTTGTTGAGCTCGCCACGTTATCAATCTTGTATCTCTTGTATCTAACTGCTAACTGCTTATCCTTGAAGGGAAACGCGTGGTGGGGGGAGATTATGAACAATTAACAATTAATAGCACGCGGGGTTCGTAGCTTTGAAATATGACATGACGAACGGTCCTGCACACTTAAGTCTGTATCTCGAAAAGACGAAGGGACGAAGGGACGAAGTAAAGACATTCGCCGACCTAAGGATGAGGGGTGTGGGGTGAGTAATAAGAAACGACAATAAGCTAAATAGCATAGACTTGCCGTGTGAAGTGAAATAAATGAAATAAGTAGGTCTAGCAGCGTTGTTCTTTCGCGTCGGAAGATGGAAGCAGGGGTGGAAACGCAGGCAGAAACAAGGGGCTGAGAGAAGAGGCGTAGAAATAAGTATATGTACATGCGTTTAGGACATTTAGGACATGCATTTAGGTAATGGGTAATGTATAGTGAGAGGAACGGCTGCCGCTTTACCGAGCTGCCGGAACTTTACATAAGTCACTTCTGTCCGTAACTTCCAATTGACGAATTGACGAAGGTTAAAGAGCATAGTATAAGATAGACTTAGGAAGTTACGATTGAGAAGAGAATCATGATAGATATTATGAAAGTACCATTTAAACCAATTTATTAGGGCTGGGTACTTTGTAAGTACTTTATGAGAAGCTTTTTGGCTATACATAATTGTAGGGGCTAGTCCTAGTACATAAAACTTAGTGGAGGATGATGGGTTGTGATTAGGGATTGCCTGCAGGATGGCCTGTCCTCATCAGTTCCTGCTCTTCTCCTAATTTTCTCGAAACGAACCACAAATAGGTAAACTACTGCTAACACGAACGCCTCACCGTTCCGAATAAACAGGTTTGCGATAACGATAAGCAGCAAGACGTCAGCGCACATACCTGTGGCCAATGGTTAGGAATCTAAAAATACATTTCAACAATGATTGCTTGCCGTTACACTAGTCTCCGAGACAAGTTACGGCAATTTATGGTCGACTTTTTGGTTTGGATTATATGCTGCTAAAGAATTATGAAGCTTCTGAATACATAATATACTGGCATCCTCAGTCTTGCTCCCAATTGTCATAAATGTAATGCTCGGGGGGCATTTGTATTATACATACCTATAAAAGGTACCTATTCTAGTGGATGCAGCCCTATATTACATCAAAGACATGACTCAGATGTATTGTACTTACTGTTTTAGGCAGTTGAATATACCGCTCTATAGCACGTGCTAGCGTGTCAGGCTAGATTGGGTGGGACGCGACTTCTTAAATGATTAAATAGCGAAAGCGCGTTCTAATCCCCGTTCTAATCTCGCCACACCAACTTTTTGAGTTTAGTAGCAGCATTAAGCGACTACATCGAATACTTGGCTTATCTTTCCTTTTCAGGCACCACCAAGTCATATATACATATAGACTTGATCAATGCCAACAAGTATTCGTCGATAGCCATGGCTACAACTACGCAAGTTATGCATAGTTCTGCTTCTTCAAATCACCAGCAGACATCCGGCAGTACCGCTCCAGTTCTTGAATATGTCTGCCTATTCACGCGCGACCTTCGCAGAAAGCAAAAGCGTTGGCAAGATGGGAGGTTGAAATATCACACGTTCAATAAACGTATCATGGTATACGACGAGCGTGGCAACTTTGTAGGAGACACACACTGGCACGAAGATTATGATTTCGACGAAGGCGAAGAAGTTGAACTTGAAAGAGGAGGCACCATTGTTCAAGTCGCTGAATGTACAGGGAGTCGTGATCAAGATCTCTCCGAACTCATAGACAAGAGAGCTCGAGAAAGAGCCGAGCGTCAATCTGCTGCTCTTGCGCGACGACCTCCCACAGTTGAGGCCGCTACACCAAATGTTGCTGCCCCTCATTTCCAGTTGCGGCATAAGCCTCTCCATAATTTGATTGGCGCACCTACTGGCCACCACGGGCGTGCTCTCGTGCCAACCGAATCACCATACGAAGAAAGACAGAAACTGGCTGCTTCCACACATGATAACGATGCACGCCCCGCAAAGCGAAGGAAGCGAGAAGTATCTCCTCCAAGCAAGAGCGGTTACGCACAAAGCTTGTTTGGCGCTTCATTGACACTATCCGGTACGCCAACAAGTAGTCCACTATTACGGAGCAGGCCGCCGAAGGTGGCATCAGTCTCCGCTGACGACCGGCCTTTATCATCAGCTACTCTTAGTGCCTGTGTCGGTAATTCAGTTGCCGAGCCTATAGTTATACATGATGCACCTACAAGAATACGAGAAGAAGCACAAGTCCAGTCAGGACCAAGGAGAAGGGGTCAGACTGGAGAACAACCCGTAGAGATCGATACATTGCAACCAATATCGGCGAACTTGGGTTTGGAAAGTCACGAAAGCAATAAGCAATACCATCCTCAACGTAGGGATCGAGATGGTGCACTTAATAATACAGCCTCTGTGGCAGATTTAATCGATAGAGGAGCCGAAGGCCCACCCTCTGTCTTAGGGCCAAAAGAATCGCTTCGGAGCCGCGGTCTCGTTACAGAACCGAAGCCTAGGAATAAAGCGGAAGCGGTTGGCAGTAATAATGAACGCTTGGGATTGGGCCATGGACAACCTATAAGCGAGCAGAGGACAGAATTGCGTATCAAGCCTAGGAAGAAACGGGGCCTAGTAATGATATCCGAGAAGCTGAATAGTGACAGTTCATCAGCATCAAGAGCATCTAAGAGCCAAATCGATTGTCAATACCCATCCGCTCCACTAAGCAGTATCAAGAAAGGGTATTCAAACGACGCTATGCTCGATGATGATGATTTGAATATAAACACCAGGGTTAAAGAGCCCGATCGTACCCGACGGATGACACAAAATACTCCTTTATGCGATCCATCGCAAATAAATCCCAAGTCGGCATACAAACAAGATACCAAAATAAAGAAGGATCAGCGGAAAATACGGAATTCGAAGCACGGTGAAGATGATCCGGCTATCTCGAGTCCTGAAATTCCGAGCGAACCTTTTAAGGATATGGGAACGTGTGCTTACTATGATCAAACAAATGAGGAGCCATCTGGCGCCAGGCACGAGCATGGTGTTCTAACTGAAGCGACTAAGCTTTCAAGAAGCAGAAGCGAGTCATCTAGGAAGAAGAAAAAACTTCGGACCAAGGATAGTGTAGACTCCGATTCAATAACAGAAAAGGATACCGAGATCATGGCTGACGAAGATGACTTGATTTTACCCGACGACGTTCCTGCTCCTCGCCTTGCTCAGTTGGGCCGCAGGAACGTACGTAGCAAAGAGGTTATCGGGTTCTTTTTCGACGAAGAAATTGATGGCAGGCCTCAACGGAATGAGGATGGTGAATATGGTAAGGCAAGTCTCGCTAGCGGCTTTTCCGCGAACCACTCGACGGTGCAGCCTCCTTTAGCCAAGGAAATAAGGGCGGTGAGCAACGGTGTCCCTCCCGAGTTTGTCGAAGACCGCAACATAGGTGCGGTTAATGTCGAAGCGGTTTCGTGTCTTCCGCAGAAGCAAATCAGACCCACGTCAGCCCGAGTCAGCGGTGACCCAGACGTGCAGGCTTTATTATCTGACGACACTGCGGCGACGCGGCTACCTACTGCTAAGATGGTGGTCAACCCCGCCACCCGAGGGAAGAAGGCTGCCAAGCCTTCGGATGCTGCCGGCCATGTTCCGCAATGTCCATTGCCGTCAGAAGTGGTAATAGGAAAACCGCCAGATACTAAGAGGCATGAACACGACGAGCAGAAGACTACGTTAAAAGTCCGACGCAAAGCTTCTGTTGCGGCGATGCCCGTATTTGCCAGAGCGAACGGAGGACCATGGAGTAGGGAAGCCCATGATCTATTTGAATTTACACGCCCACCATAGGGCGTCCGAATGTAACCCTCTTGCGAGTTCTCTGATCCGGGCGGCTCTGGGAGAAGGGGAAATAGTGTATGGCCGGCGAATGCAAGCTAGGATTACGCCAGTTTACGTTGCGTGCAATACTTACAGTAGGGCTAAAAGTAGATTGGGAGTTTGTAACTCCCGAGGCCAAGTCGCAATGGTAGTTGATGGTAGCAAATTTTGCTAATTCGCCCGTATAGTTTTGTCGGCCGATAGGGCAACTTGTAGAAAGCCACGACGAACATTATAAAGCAACGCGTTGGCTCGATCTTGAACGCAGACGCTCAGACGGCATGCTACGTGTCAAGCCGACCCTTACCACTTTAGTGCTCTGGCCTACACTGCTGTAAAGAAGCGCATAGCTACCTACATAGGTGGGGTCTTACCTGCGTCTAGGTATCGCTAGGATTCATAGAGAGGGGGAAAAAGAGGAAAGAAAAAAAGAATCCTCCATTTCCCCGCTCGAATCGAATCTCTTGCTTCACACATCTAGAAAACCGCCGTGGTCAGCGCCAAAACGACAATTATTGATATTGCTTCACCGAAAGTTTGGTAAAGGAGAGATACTTGATGTCCAAGATGGATCCGTCTCTCTACTACATTCCTACCCATAGCTAGATAGCATTGGCTGGGTATAGTATATAGCTGGGATCCCGTGGAGAAGTATTCATGGTTGAAAGATGACGCACTGTCTCCCCCAGCTAAGCGAAATCCAATGATCGGTAAGTACACCAGCACAGAGAGCTCATGTGGACGCTACGCTCCGATGTAGAGGGTTTTGTAAAGAAGAAAAAATCTGCCTTCTCGTCAGCCTCAACTGGGCGCAGTATGTACATTGTTACAGCAGGTCAACTTAATATACCTAGGTAGGTATGTCCTTAAGTCCTTGAGTACCTAACCCCCTCGGGTCGGTCCCTCAAATATTATGTCGCGCCCTATCTCGTGTCTTCCATCCCAACCATCACCATACACAGCCAGCCTACCAGTCTACTACTACTACCACTACTACTACCCGTTTAGACCTTTATCGCGTTGGATTTTATCTCCTTGTTCGTTCTATCATAACATTAGGCCCCTTGCTGCCCTGCTGCCCTGCACGGCTTCATTTCTACCTTACCAAGTAAATGTACTGGCAGGCCTCACCACCCATCACAAGGCTGTCTGCTACTCTGTAACTAGGTACTCGGCACGCACTTAGTGCCAACCAGACTATGACTATGACTTCGCCTAATCAAATCCCCAGAGGCTATGACTCGCGTCATGGTTCTAGAATTATTGTCGAACCAACCCCCGAGAACCAGAGGATCTATAATGATATTCGGCAGACGCATGAACGCATGCGCCTGCAAACTCATGTTGTCTCGCAACAGAACTTACTACCTCCCCAGGCAGCTCCGTCTATTGGTAGTACTATTCATTCGCCAACAGATGAGCCTGGCACGCCTTCCACCCAAGATGCAACGACGCAGGATACAGATCGATCCAGACGTCAGCGAGGTAGGAGGAAAGGACCGCTGGAGGCACGTACTAGGTTGAATACTGCACTCAAGCGGAGGCTTGGGCTTACTTGCCCGCATCACCGGGCTAAGAAAACAACGGTACAGCCATTAACTACATCGCATCAATGCAATTATACTAACAAATACCCGTAGTGTGATTGCCATGATTTCCGTCTTCTAGAAGAAGGTTATCAAAACACCTTACTTTCGCGACCCCCAAGTCATGGCAGGTCGCATGGTCGAAACGATATTCTGTCGCTCACGCCGATAGAACGAAATTGGAATACGTTTGGTGCTGGTGGGGCTGCGATGGTGTCGTCAGAGCAAGACTTCATACCGAACGACTCGATTGACCTACAATCCTCAATCGGAAATCATGGGGCTGTCCGCTCAGATGTACAGCAGATTGTGAGCGGATTCGATGCCGCCTCGGTACATCTAGACAGCGCGATGCTCCAAGCCCCGGGACAAACATACCACCCAGGTAACGATATGGGTGCGCAATCACCTAACGGGCATATACATCTCGAACTCCTCGAGATTGGCAGCCAGATGGAGATATACCCAAATCGCTGGCAATGCGAATATAAGGGTTCAATAGATACTGCATCGAACACTTCCTCAGAAACCTGTCACTGGACGGGACCGCTCTGGGAGCTATCTAACCATTTTAGAACAAGACATCATCCCTTTCACGATGTCAATCCACGCTTCTGGCTCGTGTGCACACGTTGTCGCGCTAGAGCTCGAGCTCCTGACGACTTAGAATCCCCTCTATCTCCATTCCGATGTACCAGAGAGAGCTGCTTAGGTTCTTGCCAGAGATGGTACTACGGTTCCACAAGAGATGAATCGGTCGCAGGGTCGGCGGTGGCCCTGACCCAATCTAGCGAGTCTGAAGCCGGTTATTCTTGGACCTTCCAGCCGGAAGGAAACCAGCCATGGAGTGGTGGGGGGGCCTCGAACAATGGATATGGATCGTATTTCGGTGCCAGCAACCCGCACGAACGCCCGTATTACCACAATGCTAAGTGGGAAACCAGTAGTGATTCCTCCACTCCCCTCACTGACTGCAGTGATTCCCCACGAAAACCCCTCCGCCCTGCTCGGAAATACTACACTGGGTGCAAATCACCTCGCCAGTGCCCCATACACTTACTATCTTTTGCCAAGTTGCCCATCGGCCATCTCCTCTCAATCATCGTACCCTTATTAGCCACTATTATTCGAGAAAGTAGTCATTTTACTGAACCAGGTCCATTACCATCTCGCGCAATTAACACAAACGCATTTAGTTGGTGGTCTCTGATACTGGTCTTGATTGGATTCTTGGCGACATGGTCATTGAAAGACCGAGCTCGATCTCGGGGTTTTAACGAGGTAAGTAAATAAATATCCTAAGCTGCTAGTAGCAATTCTAACACGGCCGTAGCCCATCTATCGAGATCGCCGCCGCCAGCATCGTAGGGGCCAGTTTCCCTGCGACGAGGGTTTTATAATACGTCATTTTAATACCTTGATGACTTGATGACAGCATAACCAACTGTTACTACTACAAGTTGCGAAGGATGATTCGCATTATATCGTTAGAGGAAATACTCACAACTGCTTCTTACGGAGTATGGGCGAACAACACTATTTTGCATACTTGGCATTGATACCCTTTTCATTTCCTAGGCGTCGGTATGGATACACTCACGCACGACTTGTAGGCATGTGGTGTTAAATGGTTGGCATTTTGAATATTCGATCTTGGGAGATATTTACGAGTTGACGCCCTCGAGCCTACGTGGTTATATATAATATATATACACGAGCTATAACAATACACTAACAGAATACACTGACAGTTTTCAGTAGGGGTGCGCATACCAGCTCTCGTAAAGTAGTGAACTATTACTCACATTTTTAGTCGCCTACGTACCTCGATTTCGTACACGCATCCATATACGCGTTCGAGTACTAGATTTATAGTATAGATAGTATAAGGGTGCAGACATGTACTAACACATGATAGGAGGACACATATTTTAGCGGCGTCATCCTATGCATGATTCACATGTTATAGTTATTTAGTATGCGTATCTGAGTCTTACTTCGATCGAGTCGAGTCATACTATAGTTACGTACGTATTATATGCGAGCATCTACTCGGCAAATATGACAGGTGCTTAACCCCATGTAGTTGTAAAGTACATGTAACTGGTTGGTATAGGTCAAATACCTATTCACACTTACGGCCGGTGCCATGTATTCTCGGGGATGAAGCAGGTGTTCCGTGCAACGTTAGCCTCCCGGCCTCCACTAGATCTTCTGGCAGATCTGGTGGGGTTAATGACGGGGAAGCCACTGAAATGAATAAATAAATAAACGAATAGAAAAAAAAAAAAAAAAAAAAAGGCACCGAGAATGGGTCAATCGGGTTTCAAGACTGCCAAGGTCGTAATTGTAATAATAATTGTAATAATAATAATAATAATAATAATTGTAATAATTGTACTGTGTAATGGCATACCTTAGATACTCTCGCATTGAAATACCTCTAATAAAATGAAGAAGAGCTCGTCTTAATTTAGGAGGGGTGGGTTAGATAATTGGTAATTGGCCAATTCTCGAATGAGTCAACCCACCTGTTTGGTCTTGCCGATGGATGCCTCAGGCTCCCACGCATACTTCCCCAGCTGAGATGGGACAGGTATCTGACACTGTTAGCATTTAGGTATCTATCCCAGCTAAACACTAACAGATTACGGAACGGAGTACTTGAGGGTTAGAAGACTCGTGCCCACTAAAAAACAAAGGTGATTGGTTAAACGGTCGATCTACTTCTTCGCCGTGGTGGGTCTCAAAACCTTGCTCCGCCATTCTTTTGCTGGTGATGAATTGAGGCTTTGCACGCACTAATTGTATTTGTACATAAGTATAACGGAAGCTTTGGGACTTGTCAGAAGTGAAATATCATCCTGTGACTCCCTCCCGAGATTCGAAATTCCTTCTTCTTTTCTTTTCCCATCTCTTCACCCATCTGACTTTAGTAGTAAACTCTACCTAGGTCTCAAACCTACCATTTGACCATTGTCAACCTTTTACTTCGATATTTTCGAAGACTTACACTCTTTACCCCTGACTCTTTGAGCTAGACATCGTCGACCTAGGTGCCTAGGTTCAAAAAGCAGGTTTCCACTCCCACCACCATACTATAAGCTATATTAGCCAACCCGCATCGGAGTTGGCGTTGCTTATTACCTTTTACGACGGAACTTGGTGCTTACGCGTAAACCCACGTTTACTCGAAGCCACCAAATCGCCAAGTCGCCAATCTGACCAACCTGCATCGTATCCATTCCCTCGGCATCGCTAATCACGTAGCCAATACCATGTCGTACGTGTCCGGTACCAACTCTTCCACTTCCCTTATGGGTTTCTCTGTCCATCAGCCTGCCAATGGTGCCCCTTTACAGTTTTTCCCTCCCATGGGGTCCAAGCAGTTGAACGAGATGATCGACGCTTATGTCCCCGGGGATGCTTCCATCCTTGATAAGCGTGCTACCGTCTCTATGGAATTCTTCGAGCACAGCATAGCAACCGGCGAATGCTTCAAATTCTTCATGGTCTACCCTGCCCTTGGCTCTGCCACTGAATCGCCAAGTATAGCCTTGGCTGATACCGGCTACGTCTCCAACTTCACATCTCCTGTTATGTCCGAGAGCCAATGGACCCAAGCTAGCAATATTTCTTCGTCTAGCGAACACAGGGCCCAAAAGCCGTCTCCCAAGAAGACGGCTCTATCCAATGATTTCTCACATCTTCCTGGTATGAAGATTTTAACTAAGGACGGAAAGGACGTCACCAATTCGGCTTCCCGTGGCTGCAAAACAAAAGAGCAGCGTGACCACGCCCACCTAATGCGTATCATCAAGGCTTGCGATTCTTGTCGGAGAAAGAAGGTGCGTTGTGACCCGAGTCACAAGCGGTCGTCCGGTTCTTCTGCGGCCAGAACAGCCAAGAAGACGAAGAAGACCGCTGCACAGTCCGTCCCAGCATCGGCACCTCCACCACAAACAACATTAGAATCTTCAGAGCAACCTTTATACATGCCATCATTCGACATTACACAAGTATCTAGTTCATCTTTTGACTCTGGCATGTCGGAGTCGCTAGTTGATCCCATTATGGACTGGGATCAGTTCGTTCAGTACGACGAGGAGCCAATCGAGGCCATTCCGTACGGCTACGACTTCTTCTTTGACCCTGCGGGCCACCTTACACCAACATCATCATCCAACTCATACTCGTCACCATCTCAACCAATTACTCCGGCTCAAACGGCAGGCCTCGAGAATGCGGCAGTTGGCCTAACAGAAGATTCCCAGGCAGTACTACCACCTTATCTAAACCCAGGTGGCGAGGCTGGCAACAACTACGCCGACTTCAACCTATACTCACCAGGTTCTTCGGTTTGTCTAGATGATGACCCAAGCCTAAGTAAGGAAGTTGCAGCGTTGCCACCACCTGAGAGCTCAAGATACCTAGAAAACCGACAACTATTTGATATAGACCAGGACCAAGACCGAGATCGGGATACTCAACTAGGCGTATCTATAAATGCAGATCACCAAGCACTGCTCGTCTCACAAGAACAGGCATCACTACCAACCGGCCTAGATACATCATACCACGAGGAAACATCCAACGCTCCGATCCAATCCCTTATTGTAGCACAGGGTGACAGCGGCCAGATTAGCCAAGTGCCCGGGTCGCGCGTTCCAGTTTCGCCAGGTCTACCAAGCCCATTAACACCAGTAAGGGCAGGCGAACCACGGCCGCAACCGTGGACCTCGCCATCGCCATCGCCAACTGGAGTAGGCGTACCATCCTCTCGACTACACGAATCTCAGCTTGGATTATCTTCATCTTCCACCGCTCTAAGGAAAGCCAGTCAGAACCTTGCAGAATGTCACAGTCGGCAAGACTCGGTTGCTATGCTGACGAGTAGTAGTGGTACTCGGTGTACCACGTCTATGAACTCAGCAGCGCCCGATGCCATGAAAGAATCGTCTTCGACAAGCCAGTCACGTCGCGAGTCTAGCAAACTTCCACAGAACGTAAGTCATCCCTACTATATATCCAATCATGGCCCAAGGCTAAGATGTTTGCAGAACGCGACAACCCTCAACACCGAAGAATCGATTTCTTCTCTCTCCGAGCGCCGCACGGCGGATACAGTCACAAGATTTTCTCTGTCTCAAAATATACTTTCTTCGTGGTCTTCTGTCGCACGGCCAGATCCAATCTCCCGGGATACACCCACACATCCTTCGTCTAGCATTGGCAACCCAGCTTCCCAGAATATCGCAACCTTGGATGCTGCCGAGAATAGTGGTGTCTATGATACAGCTGTTCCATCCGCTTCCTTGTCTAAGACGAGCCAGACAGTGCTCTCGTTGGGTGACAACGAACAGAGCCATGCAGAAAGGAGGCAGCTCCTTTCAGCATCTCTAAACATGTCACAGTCACAAACCAGGCCGGACATGCAGAGTTGGTCCAAGACGATTGCGAATGCAGTGGCGGGATGCCTACTAGTATTCGCATATGCATCTTTGAGCGTGCTTCATCAGTGGTCACTCCTTGGCAATAAAGCTGGAGAAGTTCAAACCACCGGAATCTTCGTGGGGTCTTTATCTGTTGCTGTCGTCTACACTATGTTTGGGCAACATAGTATAGGCATGCTAGATCTAGCCACACAAGTTCTTCCCTTTCCGAGGCGACGCGCCATTGGTACGGACACCGTCAAGTCAAGATACATATCCAGGGTGCGCAACAACCTCAAAAGTAACTTCTCCTTGCACTCATCAGAAAGACTACGGCCCCGGGCTATCTCATGCAGAAGACTACGGCCCCGGGCTATCTCATGCAGCGCATGATAAGTCTTGTTTAATGATGATATTTTTTGCCATATAAATCATTTCTACTAAATATTGTTGTGGTTGGCGCTTGGTCGCTCTTTCCAGGGAAAAAAAAATTCATATATGATACCCCAGGTTAAAAACAGACGGTGGTGAATTCAGAGTGGGCTTCCAGCTCCGTACATGTTATGTACCTAGTTAAGGGAAGGAAGATGGTTGAGAGTCGGTCCAACTGACGATCTATGGGAGGTGATGTATTCCGTGCCTACGTAGACCAATACGACACTTAACCACTTTTTATGAATACTGTCGGCTTTTAATGACCTTGTGATATGAATTGTGTTGCTGGGCCGTGTGAAAGTTGCTGTTTCATAATTTCTCGTTGAGGTCTGGGATATTTGATAGGTAATAGCAACGGCCGAGTAAAGATATGGTTTAGAAAATATCAATCCGTTTATAATAACTTACGACTTAATACCGTTTGTTATTTTACCTTAGTTAATGTTCAATGCGTATTGTATTGATACACTCCTAAACTTTTTTTTAACTATACATACTTATAACTATAGAGGAGATCAATATACTAGAACCAGGTAGTTAAGATAGTAAGATAACTTGGAGTAAAAAGTGACTTCGTAAAAGTACGATCATTAGGTATTCGAGGTACCTGTGAATTACCTAATCTTCATTAACTTACGTAGTGGTGTTGCGGGACCTTCCCGCTCGGACTAAAGTTACCATACTTTTACCTTCTATGGTAAGGTCTAGACCCTACCTATCTAGTCCTTAGTAAGTAATGAACTAGTGCGAGTTAGGCAATTAGCTTAGGTACTTTATACTTTATCCCAAGCGGCAGAAAATTCTCAGCCGCGCCGCTGCGACATCTCGCCTTGTCGTGATTATATAAAATAGCCTTTTTTTTTTTCACCTACTAACTTCAGCTCAGTCATGATTACTCACCTGCATCATAGCTCACGGGTTTTCTCATGGACGCGCTACCTCGTCCTATCCTCTAACGGCATGGAGATATCCTGATAAGGAAGAGATATAGGGGATATAGCGATTTCATATTCATAGATGCACGCTCGTTTAGGATCCTTTGTGGGTACTAATATCGCTCGCTCTCACCAACTCACCAACTCAGCAAAAGAGTTGTTACCTCCTTGATTGACTTACACGGGACAAGGAGGCTTATGCAGGTCTTGCTTTACCATTTACCATTCATTGGTGGTCGGCATTGCTTCGTCTCATGATTAGCTGCTTATCTCATTCGGCATTCGGCTGGTGGTTTGAGGTTTGACGGCATCACGGACCTTTTATATATTTTATTTGGGTTAGGAAGTTGTAGTAATTGCCGCTATTTTTTATCGATTCGATTTAAGTTTAGGAATAAAAAGTATTATAAGGAAAGCACGGGAAGGAGGAAACAATGGCGGGACACAAGATCTTAGGTTACGCCGCGAGCCTCTGGCAGACCTGGCAGGCGCTGTTTGCGTCTTTCATCCAACTCTACGCCCGCTTCTTTCCCTTCAAATCGACACCTGACTCAGGCCGAACAACGCAGCAACAATCATCAACAAATCCAAATCCACCACCTTCAACACGCTCAGATTCACTAAACTCAAACTTTTCAACAGAGCAAAAAATCCCAAATTCCTCTTTATGTTCACCTTCTCTCCATCTCCACCCCCACCCCCAGACTTCTCAACCACATCAAAATTCTTCCTTCATAGATCTCGAACAAGGGTTGGATTCTTCATCCCAAGACGACAACGACACCATGGCGCAGTCTAAGAAACGTGGCCAAAGGCGAGGCGGCCATAAAGGTTCTGGTCCCAAATCTGTTGGTCCTAATGCTTCCAATGCTCCTAATGCTCCTAATGCTCCTAATGCTTCTGCCACTACCCAACCAAACAACATCATCGCCAACAAGCCTACATCTAGCCAAAACCGCGCGTCGCCTCTTGGACAGGTCGGTGTTACTCCTGTTGCGAATCAAGGTGACACTAAAGTCAACTCTCATCAACCCGATAGTCAAAAGCCACTCGGTGCTAAAATAGGCGGCCAAAACCGTGGCCTTCCATCTCCTAGTCCCCTTGTCGACAATAGAAGAGAGAATGCTCCCCTTCACAACAATATGTCGTCCACCGTGTCCCAAGCTCAGCCGCCTGCCCCAAAGCCCCTCCTTGCAGAGGGCCGGGTTCAAGTCCAGAAAACGGGTACCCGCAGCCAGCACGTCACCACAACCCTGGTTTCTCCTAACACGTCTGTAATAGAGGATAATACTCCCCAGAATACCCAAGTCGAAGAAGTCGCGTCTGGTATTAATTGTCTTACCCTTGATGATATTTCCAGTAGTAGACAGCCCCCTGAGCCGGAACATGCTTCTGCAGCGGCCACTCCTAATGCCTCCGCCGCTCCGATCATGGCTGCCTCACCTCCCACCGATAAGGCCGCTGCCCCGAAATCTCCTTCGCCTCCAGTTCCTAATCTACCTGGACTAATCGAGCCCAAGACAGAAGAGGAACGAGTCGAACGGGCGTACCATCTCCACTTTATGCAAGAGGCACTTGCTATGGTAAAGGCTCCTTTTCGTTTAGCATCTGATGTTGTCCTCATCTCTACCGACTAGCTAACAAAAATATTAGGGTAATCTAGCTCTAAATACTAATGAGACGCCAGTAGGCTGTGTCTTGGTCCACAATGGGAAAGTTATTGCCAAAGGAATGAATGCGACAAACGTTACTCGCAATGGGACTCGTCATGCTGAATTTATGGCCTTGTCTGCCCTACTTTCCCGGAAAGAACCTGAAGATGTCAAAGGAGTTGGCACCAGCCCAGCTCTGGATGATCCTAGCTGGGAGGATGTAGATCCGACAGACAGTCATATCTATCCTTATGGCCAGAAGCTCCATCCTGCTCCGGCGATTAGTCGCAGCATCATAACCGAGTGTGTTCTGTACGTTACGGTTGAACCCTGCGTCATGTGTGCCTCCCTTCTTCGCCAACTAGGTATCAAGAAGGTATATTTTGGTGCTGTTAACGATAAATTTGGTGGGACCGGAGGCGTTTTCAAAATCCACCAAAACTCCAAGCCCGTTCCGAAACCAACAGACCGTCCCTATCAAAACGGATATGGTCCTCAAGATGTCAGTCGTATTTACCAAGGCAAAGCTACTCCTATCCCGAGAGATGAGGATGACGGCGACGGCGGCAATGTGGAGCCTGGCTATCCGGTCGAAGGTGGTTATCTTCGTGACGAGGCCGTCTCACTACTCCGGCGATTCTATGTCCAGGAGAATGGTCGAGGTAAGTACTCCCCAGTAGTCACATGTAAATAATGCCAATATCGCCGACTAACTTCTGTGGTCTAGCTCCCCAACCTCGCAAAAAGGAGGGAAGGGCTGCTCGCCTGTTCGCCATGGAGAATCAGGCCAAAAACGGCGGAAGCGCTTCTGAATTTTCGGATGGTGGTGGCCCCATTGATAATGAGGCGGCAGCCGAAGATAATGAAGCGGCAGCCGACGATGGTGAAGCAGCAGCCGACGATGGCGAAGCTATGGAGATGACTAATGGTACTACGAACATTTAACTCACCAGCTCCGGATATCAGAGATGTCTTTTACGCCTTTACGAGTACAACATACAGCATGCGCATAACACTGTAACAATATTCTATTACGATAGACTCGCGTCAGATTCCCTAAATTGCATGGATGGGAGTATTCTCCCCGGTGTTTCCGGTCTCTTTTCTCTCAGTCAACAGTACATATCACACTGGTGGGCGCGGTCAGCATGGTTTCGGAGCCGGCAAGAGGACGGGGGGTGACTTTGATTTGTCTCGTAACATGAGGGCATTGTACGTAACTGTCTAGACGCGTTGTTTCTTCACAGATAATCGCGTTAGTTTTCATGCTTAATTGATATCTACAGAACAATAACGGTTATGCAACTTTGTATATACCTTAACCCTGCTTTTACGCGTGCCCTATAATGTGTGCGGTTCAAGGTATAACCCCAGTTAAATATGAGGTATCCATCCATGCTATCGTAGGTAGGTAGGTAGCCATGACACACGCCTAAAGACAAGACGTTCTCACCCGCCCTTAGCGCAAATATCGTCCCGCTTATCACAGTCCCCTCGGATATCGCCTGAGGTGTCAACGAAAATTTCGAGTACATTTTCCCCAGTCGTGTCGTAAAAGGGGTACTTAACCTTTTGGCATTGGCGTATACTGTTGTTATCCCCGTGCTGCAGTACACTGGCTCCAGGGCGCTTTAAGCGCCGCACCGTATTGCCACTGTACAATACCCCCATCCATTCATCCCTTCTCCATTCCTAAGCGATCCTAGTAGTTAGTCGTCGTAAGAAACGCGTTTAATTGTGGAATCGGGTGGATTAGAGGAGAGGACTACGTATAAGTATTTGGTGGTAGGTAAGACCCCCTTTTTGGAAGATAGGCAGGCATATATTATATTGAAAATTTTGGCAGCACGCTGGGACTGTTGGTAAAGTATAGTAGAGTAGAGTAGAGTAGAGATGTTGCTTAGCGGGTCGGTTGGATGCGAAGGGCCAAGAACTTCCCCTGCGATATCGCCGACGCCGCAGAAGTAGGCTTCTTTGACCCTAGGTACCCTCCCCCCTGGCATCACGGATTGAATTGGTAACCTTGGGGTTTTAGGGACCGGCTTGATGCGTATTCGCCGCCTTACGTATTGGGTGCTTGGGATAGGGAATGGAGTTTATTATGTCATAGCTCTCGAACTCTGTAACGGCCGTGATGGAACTTTGAGATAGGTAGGCTTAGGAGAAAGACCGTGTTTTCGTAAGGCTTATATCTTGGATAGGGTTAAGTCTAGCTGGTGGTTTCTGGACCATCGATATCCGTTCGCTTAGAGAGAGGACGGTCGGATATTGACGTGCGAAAAGCTTACGTGGCATGTAGGTAGACCTCTGCTATCGGCCTGGGGTACCTATTCTATTGGAATATTTCAGATTGTTGAATAGGTATTCATTACTTCACGGGAAAGGTTAGGGCTGAAACTGGCTTGTCGTCTGTTTGGAGATGATGATTGGTCCCAAGATTGGCTTGACTGTTAAGACCTAGTCACCTCTGTAGGCGTAAACGGAGGATGTACCTATGGAATAACGGTACGATAATTATTGGTGATACTTTCCACCTCTACTATTTCGAGCGTTACGATAGGTGATTTCGGGAACTGCTATGTTTGTTTATCAGTCGTGTAGACTGGTGGGCTTCCTTTAGATGCTGTTGACTGTCAGGTCCCATGGCTTGTGTGGGAGTATGCCAACAGGAACTGCGTACAGATGGTCAATTGCTGGAACTAACAAAAGAGGGCTTATATCAATACGAGAAAAAAAAATCTCTAGAAGGACAAGAATCGTAGGTGGCTACACTTATCCTTATGTCTTATCTACGTGGGCCACTTCTGGCGTCACAATGCCCCCAGCAACGGAGCATCGTCACTTGTGGTGAATTGTTCGGCATCGGTCTGGGCTGGAATCAGGGGTTAAGAGAACCCGAGTTTTTTAGTATCTTAGATGGCATATGGGCTGAAAGGATTTTGAATTAATGTGGCCTTTCAGCATTTCCGACGGCCTAATTTCTAATCGCTTTGGTGATACCTGCTGACATATGACGACCAACTCTACATGCAGACCGGCCCGGCACCGTGCTATGATTCAGATCACAGACATCATCACAGACATCGAGTCACATACGGCCAACCTTCCGCTAAGCACATAAAACAACTTTTATCTGCTACAGCGGTAGGGCTTGCACCGTCGTGATGGGGCAATACACCCCCTACCCCCCTACCCCCCTACGCACCACGGTGTTGGAGTGGGCACAAACGTAGTCCACGGTGACGGGCACTCCGCCACGCAGGGACAAGTCGCCCCGGGAAGAATGTCCTAGGAATATGCAACATCGAGACTCGTTGTCATTGGAGGTCAAACAGCTACTATTCTAATGAGAAAAGTACATGTGATAATTAAGGAACCTATTCGAACCCTCTACCACCAAGTCAATTAGCCAGTCAACCTCCCTACCCCGCTATCTATAAGATTTCTATTTGATGCAAAGTTGATGCCTAGGCAAACCGACTTTTCACACACACGATATTCCCGATTTTTTTTATAAATGAGTCATATCGTAAAAGCATAAGTCCGAGGACCCAGCGTCCTGCGTAAATATCATGATAATCCATCTAGAGACCATTTTTAATCCTCTGTCGCACTACTAATTAGTATCTTCTAGTCTATCTAGGCGCAGTGCCACGGCGATTATCTGGCCAAAGGAGAATACCAGTAGAATAATTTGCTAGATGGCTCTGTAATAGCATACCATGCTATTGCTTCACATTGACCCTTGATATGATATTTAGAAGTGTTCGTATCATGATATAGGTTCCACGTAGTGTGGCCAACCTATGGACATATATAGAGAGACGAAGGGAGAGAGGTTCAAGAAGGAATCAATCATGTGACATCCAAACACGTTGAAGTACGGCTGTATGCTTTCGATTACTTGTTCGTATATTCAGCGATCGTAGGAATAGATGTATCCGGTGGAGCGGAGAGGTCGGGATATACGAGAGGAGAGAGGAGATTACGGGAATGCATCTTAAGCACCTTAAGCATCATACGGCCAAACAACATATTCTAGATATTCGTAATGGGGCCAAAGGAGTTCGTTAGCGGTATTGTTAGGCTATTGTTGCCCCTAACCCCTAACGGTGGCTTTGTTGAGGTTAAAGATCGGGGGAGCGGCATGATACTAGACACGTCCGGGATCTACACCCTCAACTAACTAAATCAGCGCAAGGGGTCTCTCTAGGATGACACTCGGTCAGTACTCGCCACGACTAGTGTATCCTCTCGGTTTCGACGGCTAACGTAAAAATATGGTCTGTGATGGATTTCTTGGGATGCTGAGCAAATGTGTAGCTGCGCGAGGTTGAGCACTGCCTTCGAGTGACATACCCGCATCTTATCGAGAGGCGTCACTCGTATCCTCCGCTCCCCGCTCCCCCGGTGACCTGAGATGGTGACCGATGAAGATTATCCAAATTTCGAGGAGTCGTCCATCGTAACGTAGAGATCAGATTGCCTACTCGACATAGCGATTATTGATTATTTCTCCTAGCCCTTATCATGACACATAGTTACGTCAACCGAGTTGCTGTAGAGACGACTTCAAGAGCAATGCTGTTAAAATTGACGTGCTCGTCGTCGCTATCCCCTTTTTCGAGAGGGGAGGAGCCTACAGATTAAGTTTCTGAAAGGTCATGGATAGTTACGAGGATGATAATAGTAAGTTGGCTTGTGGTTTGAAGCTAGCGGTGGTGAGACTACGGGCGGGCAAGTGGTTAGTCGGTCAGTCAGCCGCAGCAAGGGGTATCTAGATGGCATAATGAAGTCACAGAGAAAGCCGGATGAGGCCAACGGATATGTCGGACTATGTAATCCGAAGGATGTGACTGGCGCTGGGGGTACATATAACAACATAACCTCCCTTTAGGTAAATAGGAATAGGTAGTATGGAAATATTAAATGTTGGCATTGGCATTGACATGGACACGTTATCTTGCGCAAAAGGCAACGGATAATAATTGATACCTACCTGATACCTTTAAAAAATACTAAATACCCTTAGGTAAATACCTTGTTGAGCTATCGACATTAACTTTTAACCCCCCCCCAGCCATTTTTTGTTATATATGTAGTAATTTACCTTTGAACGCCAGTGCCACGTTCAGTCTCTCCGTCTCTTCCCTCCCCGATTTTCCCAATTTAGGTCCAATTCTCATCTTGCACTTAATCCATCTACTTTTTCTTCCCTCTCTTTTTTTTTCATCCTCTTCACCTCTTCACACACACATACATACACACGCACACCGTACTCCATAACCGCATCACCTTTTTTCCCCCTCTGCCCATCTGCACCACTGCATCGCCATTTGTTAAAACAGTTGAGGCAACAATACTTGGTACCTGACTACCTCCTTACCTTACCTTGCCTTCTCAACTTTTTTGATAATACATCCATCTCCATTGCATACGTAAGTACTACCGCAACTGCAAACCACAACTATTAGGTTACTAGTGTCCATCTCAACCACAGTGTTCATTTTCCCATTTCCCCCCCTCTCTCCCTTTCTTTCATCTCCAACCTTCTTACCACAACAACCCAAATCTTCCACTTTACAACTTCAATCATTCACCAACTTCGCTTCGTGAACACTCGTTTCTTTAACCCAGCCACCAACTTTTAAGTTTTCCGAGACTGACTCCCATCTCCTAGAGAATAGGACAGCATTCTCTTGGAACTTACAATCCTTCGGATCTTCGTTCCTCAGGGGAAAAAAAAAGAGGAAGGGAATCGGAAACACCATCACGAAACACGCGAACAGGAACTTACTAGCACAGACAAAGTAAGTAATAACCTAGTCCCATTTACAGCTTGCTATTTTATCCATGCACCCCTGGGCCTCACATTCTAACATATATAGGCATCTTCAAGAACCACGTTTGGTATTTTCCTTGATCGTGCTGCAAAACGCGACCGGTCTTGCATACCTACATACCTACACAGCTGATACCTACATACCTGCATACTTAGGTACTCGAGTACTTAATAACCAAAGTGGGAAGCGACCCAAGCTGCAGATAAGCTCAGTCATTGGCCCAAGTTAATTGGCCTTTACCCTTTTACTACTCTTTACCTTTTTCTATTCTCACCCCAACACTAAACTAAAACTGAACCTTGATCCAATTCATTGACCAATTCCATTTGGGTATTACGGAGTACTACGGTACACATTTACGCTTTACTCATACTTCCTTACTTCCTTCACACCTCTCACACCCTTCACACCCTTCATACCTATACATACCACCACAACACCTTTACAT